AAATAAACACTTATCTAATAGATAATAGCACAACAATTCACTGGTAAATATCACTCCCTCAAATGCTGAATGTCACGCTGATTTTTAATGTTGATGACAGGACTAAGTTCATTTCTTCGTAAATATATATTCCCATTGTACGTCCAAATGAATTTATATTGGTATTCCTTCTTCAAATTGTAAGCCATATTGAACAAAACTTTATTTCTTTTGGTCAGACTTTCCATAATAAAAATTTTCTGCTCGATTACATATCCAAGATCTTTTGTGGTTAATCTATTAAGCTTCTTACGAGCTTTATATAATTTCTCTTTCGTCTCACGCCGTGTAAATTTCACAATAATTGGCGGTGAATTCTTGCTTTTCCCTTTATAAGAAACGTTGGATTTCAGCCGATGACTTGTGGATATATCTATATCCGTAATATCAACATCGATCACCTTTGCAATGTCCTTTATAATACTATTAGTATTTTCCTGATCATTCAAGCATGGTATCCCACGGATTTCGAAACATTCACGTCTGATATATTGCTCCATATCGTCTTGCGATTTCATTATTTCTTGCAATTTGTTTGTAGCTCTTTGAAGTTCATTATTCAGAGCTTTATTTTCATTAACAAGAGACTTCTTTTCTTCTTCAAACTTCGACAACTTGACTAATATTTGTTCATATTTTTCATTTATGAACGACATTGAACTGATTGCCTCATCAATTTTCTTATTTAATGGCTCTAATTTTTGGTCAAAAATAGTATTTAAAACTTCTGCTGTGATAACTGACATAATTGAGACAAAATAAACTTCAAATAACATAAATACAACGAAATATTAACGAAATATAACATAAAAAATACAGAGCTTACAAAGCTCCGCCATCTTAGTTGACCACGTGTGATTCTATTCCCTGTCCTTAATGCTAATATTAGATCTACACCTCTTGAGTTATTTTAGTTATGTAATATTAACCTTAACTATACTGACCATACATTAATCTTTACTTATTAACTAGTCACTGATAAGTTGTTTTCATTTCTTTTTATTCATTTGTTCTTTCAAACTATGTAACCGGTTTGTAATATTAAATCATTATTTTGTAAATATATATACCATACCCTGCAAATTCATTTAGATGCTCTGAAGATGTTGTATTGTAAACAACAAAACGTTAGCTAATAATTTTTTTACTTTTATTATGTTTGGATTTAAAGTTATTTGCTGGGCTCTGCTATTTATCTTTAAAATAAAGTTATGATAAAGTTAATAAAGGTTTTGTTGAGAATTGAGAAATTTTTAATTCGACATGTTTATTGCCACCTTTAGTTTATTTTCGATATCTTAATTAAAGAAGTTATCTCAGATATTCTTCAAAACAAGAAGATATCAGAGGTCATGTTGGTGCAAAAACAATCTTAATAGAAATCTCTTTTTATCGCCGTCTGAAAGATATTGTATGAAATGCCGCCATCATCACAACAATGCCTTGTACTTTTCTCAATTAGTTTTGTGAGCTTAACAACAGCAACAGCAACAACAGCAGCATCAACAGCAACAACAACAGCAACAACAACAGCAACAACAACAACAGCAACAGCAGCAACAGCAGCAACAACAGCAGCAACAACAGCAACAACAACAACAACAACAACAGCAACAGCAGCAACAACAGCAGCAGCAACAGCAGCAGCAACAGCAGCAGCAACAGCAACAGCAGCAACAACAACAACAGCAGCAGCAGCAGCAGCAGCAACAGCAACAACAACAACATTAACAGCAGCAGCTGCAACAACAGCAGCAACACCAGCAGCAACACCAGCAGCAATAACAGCAGCAATAACAGCAGCAACAACAGCAGCAACAACAGCAACAACAACAGCAACAGCAACAACATTAACAGCAGCAGCTGCAACAACAGCAGCAACACCAGCAGCAACACCAGCAGCAATAACAGCAGCAACAACATGTGCAGTTTCTCAGTTTCTGTAGTAATAGTATCAATTTCGAGTGCAATTTGGAAAAAAAACATCACGGCCGTCCCTAGACGCGATAATTGCGGGGGAGTATACTCATATATTCATGTTCACATACCGTAAAAACAATCGCTTTCAAAAGAAATCCGTCGGGCAGAACACGATACCAATATACACCCCATGCGCTTTAGAAACTAGGGCCTAGGGTTGTTACGGGTGTTACGGGTGCTAAAGTGTCCCAATTCAAGACCATGCGCTTTAGAAACTAGGGCCCAGGGCCTAGGGAGGACGCGCGCGGCCGAGAGGCCCTGGGGACAAGGATGTAGGTGGACTTGATCCATTCTCGTACCCAGAGCCCTTCTTACGCGCGTTCGACCGAGCCCGACGAGGGGCTCTGGCCAAATCCATATCAAACTGGCTTCTGATTGGCCACAACGAAATATATGGTTTATTATAGTAAATATGAATAAAAATACACAAGCGCTCCACGAAGCGTTGGTTTCCCTTTGAAAATTGGGAGAAAAGACATTATTAAAGTTGAAAGAACAGCAGTACGAAGCAGTTAGGAAGATTGTTGTTGATAACCGCCCACAAAAGCGGTAGATGTCGCTAATTTTATTTATTTAAATCAATTAGTTGATTGAAATTAATAGGTTGAGACGTGATGTTCTCATAGCAAAAAGTCAGCATATTTATGGCAGATGCTCGTCGTATTTCCAAATCAGTGATGTTAATCAAACAAATCTGTGTTACATGTTCAAAGCTGACGTGCCATCTGAAGAGAAAATATTAAAGCCAGCCAGAATATGAAGTTAATTGTGATGACTATTTTCTTCCTAGAAACCGATTTTTTACAATTTTCAAATTATTTGCAGTATAGTATGTCTTATGTATGACTGTTGATTTTTAATAAAACACAAAAAAGTCTAAAAATCTGTACAACAGCGACTTAAAATCGAATATAAAATAGTGAGACAATCTCTCGTCTTCGTATCCGTAGCCATTACTGCTTTGGCAACGTTTAAGAGGGAAATATATAATAAATTTTATCAACATGCATTGAGAACATCACGTCTTACCTACTAATTGATTTAAATAAATAAAATTAGCGAAACCTACCGCTTTTGTGGGGTTTTCCTGGAGAAAAACTTTCAAAACGAAACAAACAAGAAAGCCGAAGTGTTTATCCGCGTTTGACGTTGAGCATGCGCAGTGTTTAACCGGATACCATGTTTTTATGGTATCCGGTTATGGATTTGGCCAGAGCCCCTCGTCGTGCTCAGTTGACCGCGCGTAAGAAGGGCTCTGGGTACGAGAATGGTTAAGTCTAGCTATTGACTCGACTCGACTTAAACCAATGACTCGACTTGACTCGAGTGAAGCCACTCGACTCGACTCGATCAGAAACTAAAATGACTCGACTCGTGACTCGACCTTTGAGTGACTCGACTCGTGACTCGATCGATAGGTGACTCGTTACAACACTGGTTGCATGTTTAATTTATATAGAATAAAATGAGAACTATACACTGTGAAATAATATTAAATGCTCAGGTGTTTTCATCAAAGACCGCTGACGCGCATGCTCAAATATTACGTCTGCGCTGACCAGCAACAGAACACTTTTCTTGCCTTCTTCGCCATTACAATAACCTTTTTTTTTCGTTAAAAACAATTTTTTCCACTGATCACCTCCAGGCTGTTATTAATGCGATTTAGGAGAAGGGAGCCGAGAAATAGAAGACTCGGGATAGACGAGGCACAGTAGACGGTGATTATCTCTAACGGTGTCTTCGCTTGCCAGTAAACAATTCCCGCGATTAATCCAAATATGGAGAACATGATTGACAGGTAAACTGTCTGCCCCAGGGTGGACGATAAAACGGCTCTGTAGTCTATTACAAAGAGCCTGGTAGGGAGTTCACCATTTACCGAGCTGAAAATAGGACACTTTGTTAGCTTTATATATGGTCATTATTTCAAGTAACAATTTGACTGAAAAGATCTAGAATCTACTAATTATTATTTGGTTTTCTTGCTAAGCCTGCGTTTTATATGGCTAACCCTTCTGTTTTTGAGTCATTTGAAAGGCTTCATCGGACTCGTGCAATTTTGATCGTCTATGAAAAACTCACTCCTGCATGTTATTCAGGGCCGTACCTAAACGCGATAATTGGGGGTCTTGAATTGGGACACTTTAGCACCCGTAACAATTTTCAAAGTGAAGTATTACGAAGAAACGAAGTATTTGCGTTGACATATGTTGATAGAATAATTTTTCCTAGCTAAAACTGCTCAACTTCTGCGAAATAAGAAATTCTCTGAGAAGCCAATCAGATCTCTCGCTTTAGTCGCCTAACCCACAGCCTACTTTTCAACGAGTGACCGAGTGAAAATGGCTCTGGGGACGAGAATGGTCCACCTCACGCTTTTTGTAATGGTTCGCAACCTTAGCTTGCAGTTTGAAATTAGTAATCAAATCTACGTTTTAAGCTAATCACTTTAGTCATGTAATAACAGTATTTGGGCAGCCATAGGCTGTACCTTATCAATATTAAGTACAACCACATGAGATGTCTGATCATCATGCCTGCTGATCGAGTGTACGTATATACAACTAGCATAACTTGCAACTGGAGTCAGAATTAACAAAGAATAGACTTTAATTAACCACGCTTTGTAAGTTAATTTGAAATTATATTGCACTTCATAAATACAAAAAATGAAGATAGCCGGTCAGAATTAGCATAAGTACAAAAAATTTTGAGACTCCATTTTAAAAACTGTGGCACTAGCGTTGTTTCTAAAAACAGAAATGTAATATAGGCATGCCCGTCAGGAATATACTGTATTCTATGCAAATCCCATATATTTTCTGATAAAGTTTCGAAGTTCTCATTGTTCACAGGGCTCATTGTTCTTCCCAAGCAATACAATCACAATATTTTTGATGAATTTATTTTTCATGAATTTATTTATTAAATTTATGAGTCACGTTTTACTGGGAGAGTTACTATTTTTAGACTTTTAGGGTTAGGATTAGGGTTTGGATTAGGGAAGGTTAAGTTTAGGATTAGGGTTAAGTTTAGGGTTAGGATTAGGGTTAAGTTTAAAATACAAAAGAATACAAAATTACAAAAGTCTAAAAATAGTAACTCCCCTAAAACGTGGCAGGTATAACTGCCTTAACTGCTCGCATTTGTGCTCACTCGCCTGCGATCATTGATGAAATTTTAAATCCGCTTGCCTTCTTTTTCTCGGGAAAAAAGGCCGAGGGAAAAAAGTACCTCGCCCAGCTGGCTAGTTTCTGTTCCTTATTTTTCTGGGACCGGTTCTATACAAAGGTAGTTAATTACAGTTAACTGCAGTTAGCAAAGGTAGTTACTTAAAGTTGACTGTAGTTAAATCCCTAAGTGTAGTTGGTTAACTACACGATTTATAACTCAGTTGAATCAAACGTTTGGATAGTAGATCTACGTACGTGATGGTTCCAGCAATTGGCTTTGACAGCATTTATTGGCATACCACGTTCCATAGGCAATCAGGGTTTTTTTCAGGGATTTTTTAGGGCCGTTAAACGGCCCCAAAAACTCAATCTTGAATTGAGTTTTGAAACTCAGTCTTCTCACCAAAGTTTCAGTGCAGTAAAAATGAAGTTGTTTGAGTTAAATTCGTGACGTGTGGAAATTCATTTTCAGTTGGAAACCCGACAATTAAGAAAAATGGCTGGAATTCATCTCACAACACAAGAAAAACTATGCATTCGCCATCTTTAACCAGTTTATAGTGTCCCTTAGTGCCCCTGCTTTAACACATTCAGTCTCAACTACATTTATTGAGTACAGGTATCAGCCCCCTGGTAGGGGGAGGGGGTGCAGCCACCCCAGCTGTTCAGCTAAACTCAATCTTCTCTGCAAAAACGGACCTAAGAGAAAATCCTGAAAAAAACCCTGGCAATGCCACGCTGTTTTGCGTTTATTGCGTCACTCTTTCACTTTGCCCTTAGAAAGCTATTCTTCCATTTTTGTCAGGCCGACAAGCCCAACGACCAACCCGCCAACAAATGGAAGCAACGGGGAAAGCGCATCCGTCTCCCCATAATTACTGAGTCTGAGTTAATGGGCCTGTTGGCCTGACAAGAATTGAAGAATTACCTTCCAACAGTATACTAATACTATTCATCACACCTGGATTAGTTAAAAACTTAAACCTACGCATGTATTCGAAAACAAGCGACCATGAGTGCGTGCCTTGCGATAGACTTGATAAGGTAGTCCTTCCCCTTTTAACTTTTGTTTTTTAATTTTAAAGATAATAAAGTGAAAACATTATTTTCTGAAAGGGTTAGGTGATGTAAAATGACCTATGCAAAAAAATTTTCACAAAGTCACTAATAACACTAATTATCCAATATGGCGGCCGCTAATTAGGCCATAATTGCCTAGCGGCGCAAACATCATATCTCATTAGCGAAATCTAATGACTGATATATTTTTGAAAAGCTTAGAACCTGATCTAGTGCATGAAGCTCTTTAATTTCTCCAAAATTCTTCAATAAAAATTTTAGAGTCAAAAATTGGAATTTTTTAATTATTTGTACTTTTAATTGAGATATTTATGATGCAATTTGTGAATAATTCATCAATAATGAAAAATATCGAAATTTGAAGAGCTTCATGCACTAGAGAAAGGTACAGGCTATAAATGTGCAAAATATCAAGCTTCTATAATAAAAACCTGGAAAATTACCAATGTCACAAGTATTGCTGACACACGTCAAATTGCCAAAAAGAGAAAATCCACTTTGAAAGTTTCGTTTACTGTTAATGTACCTAATAAAGTTTCAGAAGCCCCCTATTTCATACACAACACCTACTTTCTCTTCAGCCTCATCTATATACTTTATTCTCAGATGCCCTATTGTTTTTCATCTACTTTTAATTGTTTCTCTGCTTTTTTTTTGGAGAGAATGTAATTTGTGATTCATCATATACTATTGACACGTCCAGCATGGTTGATCTTACAGTGCCGACTAGCTTTCCTCTACTGATATTTTGGGTTTTTGACTCACGGATGTTGCTGTGTTTCAACACCGTTTCAACACCGTTTCCATAGTTTCTGTCGATTGAAAGAGTTTTTTGTTTACCAAATTTAATCATGTTATTTAAATTAATAATTCATGTTTTAGCTGTCACGGAATACAAAGGACATATTTGTCTTATTCGAAGCAACATGCACGACACAAAATCTTTGTATTAAAGTCACGTTGCCGACTTGCCGTTGTATATTTCACATGACTGCGCTGGCACTGTAGCCTAGTATCAGCTGGCACGGACGAGTCTCAGCAGTGTATCGATAGATCGCTTCATTTTTATCCTCTATCAGGAGAATTTCAGCTGTCCTTATGCTCTTTGATGAATGTCCCACTTATATTTAATAGACGCAATGAAACAACATCAAAACCACTAGTTAATCCAACGAAACTCTGTCGGATTACAGGGGATGGCGATTGTTTATTTAGAGCACTGTCATATATTTTAACCGGTAGACAAACATACCACATGATTTTAAGACAAAAAATAGTGGATCACATGAACAGTATAGAACATGTCCTTAGACCATATATGAATAGTTCAGTAGATCATTATTTAGCCACAAGCAACATGAGGAACAGTGGTGTGTGGGGGACTGATATTGAAATTTTTGCAGCCATTCCCTTTTCAATGTAGATATTTATGTTTATTCACAGTTTGGTAACAATTATAAATGGTCTAAAAAGAAAAAGAGCATTGGACACTGAGGCAGCATTACCACCTGGATTTACTTACACTGTACTGCCATTGGACAGCTACCTGTACCGTTGTATCAATAAGGGTGCTGTTTTATAGTTGTTCTGTTTAAATTTTTCTGTTCAACACTGTACATCGTACAGCTACGGTCATTGATGCAGCATGTACTGTATTGGTTACAGCTTTATACTTATAGCTATCATGTTTAAATTGTCCTGTTCAACACTCTAGATCGGACAGCTACGGTCATTTGATATATTACATTGGGGACAGCTTTATACTTATTATAGTTATCATGTTTAAATTGTCAGTCTGTTTAACACTGTACATATCGGAAAGCCACGGTCATTGGATGTACTGATACTGACTGTATTAGGTACCTACAGCTTTATACTTATAGTTATTCTGTTGAACACTATACACACCTGACAGCTACGGTTATTGTACTTTTATATAGATTTGCTTTGATAGTGTGTAGTTTTATAATAATCTATTCAGATTGTTTTTTCAAGACTGTTGATATTGGTTAGGGACCGGTCATTATTTATGGAAGGGGGAGGGGAATTTTTTCTTTTCTAAATTTTTAAAATTGAAAGCCCCCCCCCTAAATGGCAGAAATTTAATGATGGCCCCCCCCTGCATATTAGAATATTTTTCTTTGACCCCCCCCCCATTTTCATTTTTACTCGTCAAATGGGGATACCCAGGCGTTATAGTATTAATTATTAAATAAGAATATGGAACTGGCAAGATATTAACGTCGACCAAAAATATATATTTATTAGCAGAAAATTGTAATTAAAAGAGGAGTATTTTTATATATAACACTAAAATCAGGTTTCCATTTGGTCTGGGCGATCGTAACCATGTTTAAGGCTGCAACTAGACTTGATGGTACGAAGTATTGCCATAGCAGCTGCGCGGCAACAATGAGAGCAACAATGAGTAAAATTAGCAGCAAAAGGAGATAGCAATGACAATTCTGCCAAGGCATACCTGCGACAGTGTATAGTGGTCTATACATCCTATTTTATGTGAGATTAAAAATTATATAAAAATGACATATACTAGCTAGCAGATAAAATCTTTTAGAATGAACATGGGTGGGTGGGTCGGGAAAAGTGTATCGAAGCGCAAAACTTGCTGCAGCTAGGCAAAGCATACAATGGTAGAATGAATACCCAGACCGAAGCACTGATCACAAGGCATGAAACAACCCCCTTTGATCGATATGACGTCACAGATTCCCCGCAGCGGATGTGGCCTGCATAATACAAACGCCGTTAACCTTGCTTAATTTAAATGTATTTAACCACATCAAGAGCTGATGTAATAATACATTGTCAATTTAACTAGTCTGCAATCCGTAAAGACTGATTTGCATACTGCATACAGCACACACAAGACAAGATGAATCCAGACTATTTCACATCAGTGACCATGATTTAGTTGCAACATTTACAACCAAATGGATACCAGGTTATTAAGCAAATTCCTTCAAGTTTAATTGCAACACCCCCTGTCATTTTCTTGAAAAAATTTAATAGCCCCCCTTCTAGTCATTTCTACATATGCCCCCCTTATTTTTTTCCTCCCCTCTTCCATAATTAATGACCGGTCCCTTATTGTTAAAATCGAGGATGTCGTTAAAATTAAACTTTAAACCTGTAAGATCTTCGGGAACATTTTATATTATGTTGTGTTTTACCAAATAATGTCCTTGCCCTTGCACGGTTCCCATTTGTAAAAAAACTACTGTAAATCATGTCCCCCTTTAATTAATTTGATCTCATCCGTGAGTCGGCCTCGAAGGCCTTTGATTTATATTATTTTATATTCAATATATGACATTGGATGTAGACGTAGTAGGTAAGGACTGTTCAATTAGTCCAAAGTATAAATCTATTATGGTAAATTTATATATAAGAATCATGTACTGTGTTTTATGCTTTCAGAATCAGTTAAGTTTATATACTCTAATATTATAATATATTGCTATTTGATGAAGCCATATCTATTTAATTTATTTTGAGGAAGGTTTGAAAACTTTAAATTTTACCCGGAGGAAATTTGAACAGGTTTTGCAACTCTGCTGGTTGTTTTTGTAAATAATATATTTTAATATACTGTGAAATAGTACCGTGTTTAAATAAAGTTGAAGTTGAAGTTGAAGTACTCTCGCCCAATCACCTGGAACGGCGCTGACGGGTCGTTGACGTTTCGCGTTCAATTGTGACATAGCTCTTTCGTTTTTGTGCCTTGGAGAAGACCACATTTATCAGTAAGCAGGTATATGTTGCCACCAAGCGAGAGTAAAAGACAGATGGTCAAAATAACCAATGTATTATGTATAGTGTCCGTGATACGGTTGTCGTCCGTAAAATGCCACGATCAAATAGAAGAAAAAAAGATGACACAAGAAGTCCATCGCGCTCCCTTACACGCTCACATTTATAGATAGTTACTCGGGGAATGCCATCGTAAATTTATTTCTATTTTATACTGGAGACATAAAACGTAGTCTGCGATAGCCGACTGATCTCAGTCGAACCCCCCCCCCCTTCCTGGAGCGGCTGAGAAACTGCCTGCGATCAATCAACACTAATGGCGTACAGTTGACCCCCCCCCCACAACGGGGTTGAGGCGGAATTTGATTGGTTAAAATATTCCTTTGTGATCACGCCGAAAATTGCATAAATTACATTGTTATGTATAATAATTCATAGTTGCTTTGCATCCGCCATCTTGCAGACTTGACATTTTTTTAATAATTTTAAATTAATTATACAAAACACTGCTTACGTAACTGTACGGCATTAGTGTTGATTGATCGCAGACTGTTTCTCCGCCGCTGCAGAGGGGGTCGGCTGAGATCAGTCTGCTATCGCAGACTATCGCAGACTGCATAAAACGCGGCCTTTATACTATATAATATTAGTGGTATAAACCTACTAGTAGGCTCACATATATCGTGCGTTCTGATTGGCTACGCTACTAGTGGGCTATTAGTGATAGCCTACTAGCAGCAACAAGCGGCGAAGGGCGCGAGAGTCAATGGTCGTTTTAAAGTATTAAAAGCTGCATTAATAAGGGGAAAAGATTATCAAAATGGCCTAATTTTTGTTCTGGATTACACACAATCAAAGACTTTTGGAAACTGCTCACACATACGGTAAAATTTTTAAGTTTTCTCAATTTTGCTTGTAGTTTTGAACATGCATGGAAGTGACAGGCGATTTTTTCAAAATATATGCACAATGTTTGTTAATATTCCAAGCAGAATCGTTGAAATTCAACAATAGTTTGTAGCTATTTACCCCTATTTTATCAACCTCTTTAGTGTGTGCTTGTTTTAAGTACGAGTTCATGTATTTAGCTGTTATTTTAAATAATTTTTGTCGTTTAAATGTTGAGATTTTGGCCGAGTTTGTTTTTCGCCTCTTTCGAGCCTTTTTAATCGACGAGTTTTTCGATTAAATTTTAATCTAAACTAGAAATACATGCATGCAGTAACCCCTCTCCAATATTTTCCAAACATTAAATTAACATGAAGTATTCAGAATTGGCCCATTGAATGCAGGCTCGCGCTCAAGTGTTGCCATGACAACACGATATTCTTAAATTTTTAATTTTTTCATATTTTTTGTACAAAACTGCAAAATATAGCCTCCTCCGCAGGCATCTCTTAATCGTCGAGAACTTATATAATTTAGTTATTCAAATAACTGATGTTCTTATTGGGTTACTGTGCAGGGAGACGGAGGAGGCTAAGGGGCGGACCATTTGATTTTTGAGGGGGGGTGGAAGATTTTGAAAAAAAATTTTCCGCAATGGACGTTCTTCTCTTAGTATTGTGTCCACAGGCTTGCAAGATTTTGCATTTTTGAGCAGGCACATTTGCTTAAAAGAACACCGGGTGAACAGTGGACAACATCGCAGGGATTCTACCGCCTTTGGAGCCTATAACATACGATAGCCAGTGGCTTTCCCTGGACAAATTGTTGGCCTCCCCTGAGAAAATCTGGGCTTAAGATATGTATAAATATACATATCTAATATGCATGGTAGAGTATTTTTGGATGGTTGAGTCTGTGTGCGTTCTTTGATAACATAGCTCCAAACTATTAAAGCTTCAAAGGCCCATCTACAGGATGCAGGTTGAACGTACTGCATATATACGATGATTTTAATGCGAAAATGCTAGTTTAGAGAGTCTAGATTTTAAACCGATCCCCAACAAGCACGCCTGGCAAAAAGTAGTCCAAAATCGCCAGAGGTGTTATAACTTCTTTAATTTTCATGCTGATTATACGAAATTTTCCATAGACATAGAACATATCATTCTTACAAATCGTGCCGTTTTTGTTTTCGGACTTTTTATTTTTTGGCGGGAAAATGACGTCACAAACATGGCGCCAAAAATTTAAGAATTAGCAATTGCTAATATCATGTATTTATTTGGAAGAGTATGCTGTAGGAAACCTGAAACTGAAGTCTGTATCGAAATACGACCATTCGCTGCAAAGATAGACTGATTCAAAGTTCGAAAAGTCGGCCATTTTGTTACTAAAAATAGAACAAAATGACGGATTTTTCGAAATTTGAATCACTCTATCTTTGCAGTGAATTTATTTATTTATTTATTTAATGAATTTATTGAGCAATCTACATACGTACTATATCAGGTACAAAGATAAAAGCTTGACAAACGAAAGACAAAACACACGTCACAAATCACAAATTAGTAGATACACTCAAACGGAAAAGCACAAACGGGACACTAAAAGTCCCATGCGAGGTGCTCCCCGTAATTAGTTTTGATATAGTTAATTAAATACACACACACATATATATTACTTGTGGTATTAAGTCCTATGGCAAGGACAGTCACGATTTAATGACCACGTACAAGCCATGTCTACGTCATAAACATTACTAATTAATGTATAGTATCTACGTTTAAGATAGTGTTTAAAAGAGTTTGGATTACGGAAAATGTCAGGTGAGATTTCTTGGCACACTGTGTTCCAAATCTTTACAACACGATTGTAGTATGAAGACTGGAAAGTATTAGTTTTACAGAGTTTACTTTGAAGGATATATCTTGACATATGGCTCAGTCTAGTACGACCATGGCTCACAAACGACACATAGTTATCGATATTGACGTCAATGTAACTAAACAATGATTTGAAGAAATACACCAAGTCTCTGACATCTCGATCATAGGTTAACGGTAGCAGATCTAATGCTAATAACCGTTCTCTGTACGACAGTTCCTCTCGCTTTGTCATTGTTATCCACCTAGTAGCTCTTCTTTGCACTTTTTCAACACGTCTTGAAATCTGGACGCTGTTAACCGGCGACCATACCTCTGTAGCATAACACAGCTGGGACTTGACCAATGATAAATATAAAGTTCGTCTGGTTTTCATGTCCATCAATTTGGTACAAGTTCTTCTAAGTACGCCTAATATTTTGTTGGCCTTCGCGACGATGGTGTTCGCGTGAATGTCCCAAGAAAGTTTTGATGTGGTGGTAATTCCAAGATCTTTTTCGCTATCTACTCGAGTCAGGTTTTGGCTCCCAAGAGTGTAGTCATGAATGATAGGATTTTTCTTTCTGGTGATGGTGAGAACTTTGCACTTAGAGACGTTGAAGCGGAGGTTGTTTTCCATAGTCCAGAGATTAAGATTGGATAGGGAGTGTTGTAAAGACGCACAATCACGATTACAGGTAATGGTTTTGTGCAGTTTGGTGTCATCTGCATACAGAGCTGTACCGGTTCGGGCTTCTACGATGTCGGGTAGATCGTTGATGAATACTACAGACAGCAGGGGTCCTAGAATGCTTCCCTGAGGCACATCGGAAGTAACGGAAGACCATTTCGAAGTCGCACCATCCATAACGACTCTTTGTGTCCTACCATTAAGGTAGTTAACAAACCAATCAAGAGCTGAGCCAGTCACACCGTAACAACGAAGTTTAGCTAGGAGGATCGTGTGATCTACAGAGTCGAATGCCTTGGCAAAGTCGAGGTACAATACATCAGTCTGAGTGTTTCTGTCTAGATCTTGTCCGATGACCTGGAGGACAGACAGGAGTTGGGTGACGCAGGATCTATTTCTGAGAAAGCCGTTTTGGGATGGACTGATGAGGTGAGCAACATGGTCATAAAATCTTGAGTAAACGCAGCGTTCCAGGATCTTGCTAACGATAGGCAATAACGAGATTGGACTATAGTTATCTGCTGGTTCTTTCGAGTCTTTTTATGTATGGGGGTCAGATTTGCCGATTTCCACTCCGATGGAATAAAACCAGATTTGAGAGAGGCGTTGAAAAGGACACACAGGCTTGGGGCAATTTGTTGATGACATTCTTTCAGAAGCCGCGCAGGAATACCGCAGGAATGGTCGCACTTCGAAACAGACTTCAGTTTCAAGATTCGTACAGCATGGTCTTCCAAATAAATAAATGATATTAGTCATTGCTAATTCTTAAATTTTTGGCGCCAAGTTTGTGACGTCATTTTCCCGCCAAAAAATAAAAAATCCAAAAACAAAAACGGCACGATTTGTAAGAATGATATGTTTTATGTTTATGGAAAATTACGTACAATCAGGATGAATATTAAAGAAGTTACAACACCTCTGGCGATTTTCGACTACTTTTTGCCAGGCGTGAAGCTATCTGTATGAACGATTTAAAGCTACAGAGCTATATTTGGTGGAACATTTGTTGTGTCGGAGGGCAGTTAAAAATCGCATTATTGAAATCTTGTTTTATTACATATTCATTTTGTGATCAGTTTCGTTTGTTTACTTATAAAGGACAGTAAGTGTTCCTTAGGCTTAGTACACTGCAAAGTTGTTGGACGAATCCATGGCTGAAAACGCAGGAAATAGCATTTCCGAGGTTCAAATTTTAAAATTTTCATTCATATACTGTATCTCCCAAATTTTCGAGTACTCTACTCTATCCCTGCATGTTTTAGGTTTTGGTGCAGTTATACATTTTTTGTAAGTAAACCTGCACGCTTTAGTGTGGGGAACATTAAGACATAACCATATAAAATAAAGCACAGTGAAAATTCCTTGGCCCATCTTGGGATTCAGTTCTCGGCCACCTCTGACTGAAAACCCCGGCTACGTCTCTGATGATACCTATATGAAAGCCTTAAGTTACTGTAAGCCGTTATTATGAGAGGCAAAAAAATAATATCCTGCCGCGAAATATATTGGGAAAGATATATCTTGCGCTTCACTTTTACAGGAAAAAAATATCTGTCTTGTTCCCCTGGGCGGAAAAAAATTCTTGCACAGACTGAATCTTCCAACCCCCCCCCCCTCAAAAATCAAATGGTCCACCCCTAACTGCAAAATAGTTTAAAGATTCGTACTTTTAACTATACAACAATAAATGTCCGAAATATATACTGTAGGTAGATTATTTTGCATTTTGTGAGCTTTGATTTAAATTAATGTAAAATTTAACTTGAAACGCTTCGTAAAATGTTTTGAAATGGTTCATTCAACTATAGTTCATTTGCCGATAAACTAAGAATAAAACATAATAAGTTACAAATAAAACAAATTAAATTGTTAGGTAATTTCAGTTCAGTCTTCAAATCAATTTGTTCTCCTTTACATTTTAAGATTTTTTTCTCAAATTAAACGGTAATTTATAAAACTTAGAGCTTCGTTGAAAAGGAAAACAGTTCATGTTTTTAGGCAAAAAGTTTAAAGCAACAAAATTCGTAAACATACTAAACATTAAATATTCAAAGGAAACTTGCTGTATATTTCATGATTTCCCATAGTAAATCAATTCTTATCATTTTTTCAAACAAAATTGCTTCAAGCTTGTTGTGTATGAAACGATTTTCCAAATATATGTCTTTTAAAATTGAAATCTTGCTCATCCCACTCCTACAAGCAATCAGCCATATTTTTGAGATCAGTGAGGATGACCACCCACTCAACATCGTTGGTGACCGACGCCCGCGCTCATTGATGAACTTTAGACTTAGCCAATGCTTTCGTTTCCCCGGATGTAAATAGCCGGGGGGGATTAGTACCTTCGCCCCGGGCTTATGCTCCGCGCCGTTGGCTCGGAGACCATTGTCTATGTATACTGGCTAGATGATGGAATGGTTTGCCTCTTTATGTTCCACATATTTTAAAGATTTCAACGACATTCGGATTCGTTTGTGTGCATTTTTATTCGGCTTTTTAACATAAATTTTATTTCAAGTAACAATTCGGGAAGCCATTTTTTGTTCGAAATTTTGGACTTTTTAAGCCTTGACCCTGCTTTCCTTCTTTTAATTGGCCAAATTTTGTTTGTATAACGGCCCCTTACTATAATACTGTTTTACGACATGTTTTTTAACTTTTTTGAAACTCACATACAAGTTATATCAGTTCAAGTCATTCTTGGGAGTTCGCAACACTGAGTATAGTTGTCAACAAGGCTGAGGCGTAATGTCGCCAAAGGAAGCCATTTAAACGCTCATTTCGTTAAAAAGTTATTATTGTACATAAAAATCAAGTGGAAAATTCCGTTTTCTTTATTTGGTTTATACTAAAACAATTAGACAACTCAGCCTCGTTGTCTCTGAACAAATAGTCAATTAACTCGGCTTCGCCTCGTTGACTATTTAACAATTAGTCGCCGAAGGCGAGGTGATTACAAGCCTATATTCACTGAGCCGAAGGCGAAGTGAATATAGGCTTGTAATCACCGAGCCTGAGGCGAGTAATTGTTTTAGTATAAATTTTGCAGGTGTTTACAAACAATAATCCACACAACTTTATAAAAATTCACTTCAAATAAATTTATTTTCGCTATAAATAGTTTGTTTACAAAATTTAAATCTCAGACACGGCTCTGTGTGTTTCGTTGCGACTAAGCCAGTTTTTTTTCCAAATAAAAGCACGTGAAGTTTAACATTTTACCTTGAAATATTTTTAAACCATATTTTGTAGCTTGTTTGGGTTTTTTCGGAATGCAATCTTCTTTAATTTTGGCAATTTCCTCCTCTGTTAGTTCTGTTACTACGGCAAAACGAGCAACCATTTTGAAAAAAAAGCTATAGTCACTGACCAGTGACTATCACTTCAGAGACAGTGAATCTTGACCAATCAGAATGCAGAAAAATCAATAGTCACCTGGAAATTTATACTAATTGCTCATAGACAACTCGGCTTCGTCAGTCTAATTGTTAATTATTCATATTTTAATTAACATTTTATTCAACAGATGGTTTCTATAACTCAGTAGTTGCTCTATTGACATATATTTATATCTTCGATGCAGGTGGCAAATTTTGTTTATACCTTTATGTAAATATCGCCCAATATCGGTAATATCGCATGTTATCTTTTAAAGCCATCTGCGTCCAATTAAACCGAGAAGCAATTGCTCCAGTATATTTGAAAAACTACACTGGCTTGTACTATCTATAGTCTTCATTCAACACCATTGGCTTTTGCAAGTGAGTCTTAAAACATCGTCTATAATCCATTCCATGTATCCACTATAAGCTATATAGTTGAATATTATTTCCATGCCTATATCAGTACTCTATCTTTGTTAAAAGGCTTATATGCATTGTTTGGACAAACTTTTGTCTTTAGTTTGTTATTGTATGATAGCAAGACTTGCATCGCGAGCACAAGAGGCCTGAGGCCCTGTTTACTTGAGACCGGAACGAAGTCAAACCGGGACCATTTCGTTTCGGTCATAGTATTATTTATAAGAGATGTTTACATGAGACCGGGACGAAAATAACTCAGACCGGTCTCAAGTCATTCCGCCTGCTGAACCGAACCGACTGACTTCGAACCGGCATGAATTCAGACCGGGATGAATGTAAACAGAAATACATTTCAGATCGGTCTCGGCTGTAACCTTGACATTGGAACAAACACATGCTAACAAAAGCCATCTAAAAAAGAAATTGCCTGGCAAGGGGAATAAATGGAAAATTTTGTGATTTTCGTACCGGTCTCATGCAAACATGTTGACAATTTCAATTTTCATTCCGGTTTGACTTCGTCCCGGTCTCATGTAAACGGGGCCTGAGAGTTGGCAGTCACCCGACGTCGGGTTAGCTGTTCTTAATGTGTTTTTTTTAAACCGGCATAGTTGCAACACTCATCAAACATTTCTTTTGTGAATCTAGTGCTTGAAATGTCCCTGTATAAACAGTGCGTGACTGCCGCAGTGAGCTCTCTATATAATTATATATATATATATATATATATATATATATATATATATATATATATATATATATATATATATATATATATATATATATATATATATATATATATATATATCTGGAGTAAGAACTGGAGTGATTCAGTCAATGAGAAAAGTGAAGCCAAGGCCATTGACGTCCGACAGCTCTGAAGGTCGTAAACAGTTTTTATAGGCCATTTTCCCAAGCTAATTCCAGTTTTATCTAATGGACCGTATCACTAATCAAGTTTTCAGTTCATAAATCACAATATTAGTCTATAAATCGAAGTCAAAATACGAAATCTCAACACACTCCTTGCCAATTAAGATGGCAGAAATTGAAGGAGCTCTTGGACGTCAGTTCCAGTCCCTTTCTATTGTTTTGTATGCGCGGTTAACACGAAACTGGCTTCACTTTGAGCAACCAAGTTCCTACTCCAAACAGGTGGGCAATTTGTCGACGCTGACCAAAAATAGCGGCTCATTTCTTCTTGAGTTGCCATTTTCGCGTCGAAGAGCAAAAATACAGACTTTCGGAGAATATTTTAGCTGTTTACTATCAAATATGTTTGTGAAACAGTTGATAATCTCACTGAGGAAGGCCAACGGTTTCTGAAAAGCTAAAGTACGTCGAAATCAGCGTTGGAATAGACTATATTTTCACCGGGGAAACATGAACTAAATGGATATTTACATCAATACTAAATTTCACTCGTGCCTACAGAGCTAGTTGGATTAAAACAGATGTTAAGAAGTAAGTGAAAATGTGAATTTTGTGAATTATACTTTCATTAAAATGTTTCAGAAGGGCTGCTAATGTCAAACTACACGTGTGACAGAGCTGTCAGTATACCCATATTTCAATGTTTATGTTGAAATGGCCCATCTTCTCTGAGGTATAGCTTAAAAATTAGGGTATGCTCATCACTTGAAACTAGCTTTAAATCAAAGTTTTATCTATAGTCTTTCTATTAGAATTGAAATCATTCATGGGAAAAATGTGCCAGAGGGTTGAAATTGCCCTTGTAAATGTACACTATTTTTGATATGCTTGGGTTAGTATTTTGAAAAGGTGTTTTGGAAAGATAATATGTCTTGAACAATACTTGGTTGACCCTTAAATTATAACTAGTGATATGTAAATCACAGAAAATTGAAAAAAGTCTGGTCCATACACAATAGTTTGGATTCTATGAAGTCCCGAATGTGGCTTATTTCAATGTTTAATCTGTTTACCTGGAAAAACATAGAAAATTGAATAAGTCAAGAATTTGACTATGCTCATCACCCAAAACCAGGGTTTTCTAATTGCTTTTTCACCTGGGTTTGTGGCAATACCAGTTATGCGACCATGAAAAATGCGCGCGGCACTTTTTCTGGACACTGAAGATGACAACATTTGATGTTGTTATCTATCGCCATCCTTTTATCATAGTATAACTTAACTTATTTTAGCGAGTTTGTTAAAGAATTGTGCTCACTATATGCCTGTAGAATCTAAGATTTTTTTCATAGTATTAGATGATAAATTTAAGTTCTGTTTTCTTTTATTTTTAGGTGATAGTATCTGTTCACATGTGTGTTGGTATCAAATTTTGCACAAGATTAATTATTATTTCACATTCCTTTATTGAAATATCCAAATAAATAGAATATGACATCAAGCTGGAGGACTAAATCCTGTTTCCAAACTTGTTTTTGTAAAAATAGAAAATAACAACTTATTATGTGCTGTTCTAATAAAAACTATTGTTTGTGATATGCATGTTTAATTTTTGAAATTACATTTCATTCTTTGTTAAAATGAGTACCAGGATTACTGAAATCTTTCAGATAAGCTAGCAATACCTTTGTAACTTATATAGCCAAGTGTTCTATCTATTTCTGTTCAGATTAAACAAATGATGGGGAAAATATTAGATTAGATTTTTGCCAAAAAATGAGCTTGCCTGTTTTGAAAGTGCTATAAAAAGCAATAAAATAAAGCAAAAGTACTTATTTTCAATTTAAAACCTTTGGAATGCATAGCTTAATGTTTTCTACTAAATATTACAAAGTTTTCGTTCATTAAAATGTTGTTTTATCAGCTTTAAAACCAGATAAATTCACGAAACACTCCTAATATATGTCGCCATATTGATTTTCTTCGCGCATGCTCAGACAAATTGCCCACCTGTTTCTGTCGAATATTTTTCCGTTGTGTCGTGTTTGTTCCCATATTGCAAAACAAGTTCAAAAAATTAAGTGACAATATTTTTACCAAAGAAAGATCTGATAATGGACTAGTCGTCCTTGGATTTGCTAAGTTCTGGTGACAGTACAAGATATTAATATTTTACAAATCGAAGGCCGGTTGGAAAAGCGAAATTCGCAAGGACGATGAACCCGAACACTTGTTTGAAAACAATTCTCATTTATTCATTATATGTTGGCTTCTGGTCACGGATGAACATGCTGGTAAGAAGAACAAGTATTCCTTTGTCGATTTAAGAATAAGAGTGGCCAAAAAACGTTTAAATTTCTTTTATATTCGTAAATTTTAAAACTATACGAACCTGGCAAATTTTTTAACTGTAATCAATTTTTTATGCTGTATTCAGCAAACTATTGCAAAAAAAGTTCAAAAAATTACGCCATGAAATTTAAGAGGAATAAAGATTTGTACTTTGCTAACATGTATTTAAAAAAGCTAAGTTCTGGCTTATTTTTGAGATATAAAATAAAGTAATTTATTTACGCATCTTAAAATACGCGTAAGGGAATCATTATGATGTTCGGCTTTCATGTGCAAAATTTTCGTAGTTTTTTTTTTACGATTATCTTGAACCATGCCATGAAAATTGTAAAAAACGTAAATAACCAGATGGCAAAATATGGTAACGATAGACTGCATAATTTCGGCAAAATAAGACATTTAAAAAGTGTCTTCGAGTTTCGCATCAATATTTTGTTTTGATTTAAATTTCGCACCTTCCCCGCTAGCCCCAGTCCTAATTTGCATCACACATGTTTCACGCGAATTACTGGCGTTTCGACGCCCTATCTTATAAACGCCCTGATTACACCTTTCAGTGTGCTATAAAAATTTGCTCCAAGTTCTTCCTCTCAAAAATGGAGGCCGTGTATTATGTAGATATGAAGGGCAATAGAGGTGGGCTTATTTGAAAGGCGATCTTAATAAAGGATTTAGGGTAATAAAAAAGAACTAAATTCTAAAAAAATCGTCTTGTACTGCAAGAGTGCAGATGTATGTACCTTGCTAAGTTTACTCTTGCCCTCTGTCCGCCACTTAACGACACGCCGCGTTCCCCTACCAAAGTATTATCTCCGTCCGAAAGAGCCTTTATATCCTATATGGTGATTAGAAATCCAAAGAAATCATGCTAATGAACATCACAGCTATAGTTTTTGACATAAATATACACAGTATATCAAAATATTTCTTCAAACTACGAACCGCGTCGAGGGCGCAAACATGTATCACTTCCTCGTATCTCTCTTTATCAAATATCTTTCCAAACAAGATATTTTCTTTCAGAGTTCCAGAGAACACCCAAGGTTGTTGAGAGACATAAGCAACACGACCACTGATACGTATGGAGCCACTGGTAACTGGAAGTTCACGCAGGAGCGCCATTAATAAGGAAGACTGAAACACATAATCCAGTACAGAAATTTTTAACAAAAAAAAATCCAATTGAAAGCGTTTATATGTAATTCCTAAACGCACATGCAGTATCTTAGCGTAATGAAGAAATATACCTTGCCGCAACCAACTGGTCCAATTATCATCAATAGTTCGCCCTGTAAATATGAAGGAGTTGGTAAGTATTTAATAATCCTATAACAATATAAATATGCGCCACAGTTACTTTGCTATATACTTATTCTTATCAATTGATTATTATTAACATATTGATATTAATTTACATTAAGGCCAAAAAACATATGTGGGTTTCCAGTTTCCCGACCCTACCTAGCTTTTGGACGCCGAAATCCCGACCCTAAACTTTTTTATTGGATCATGCTTGTAATTGTTTCCACTTAGAGGAAAACGTTTGTGGAAAATGGAAATCTGAGGCAATATTAGGGAAATTTATCTTTGGATGTGGAAGCACTGACTAAACAAAATGGCGTCCGGTTGTTAGGAAAATTTTAAAAAAAGTTGAAAAAAGTTGAAAAAAAAAGTTAAAACCGACCTACCCTACCTAAGTTTTTACAAGAAGAAATAGGAAACCCACATTTTTTTTGGCCTAATTTATTTAAAGTTTGCAGGCATACAAACTGGTTTAAGCAGTTTTTGTGCTTCCTACTGCATGCACTGAATAACTTAGATGGGTTAACAAGTCTGCCTCCTCCGCAGGCGTTTCAAGTCTCATATACATGCACACTTTAATTTCTGAACGGGAATACGTAGGCATGCATACGAGATTGGAGAATTGATTGCGGCCTGCATGCAGAAAACGCTGTATGGCGACAAAGTCTCTCAACAACACGCCAAGCTATATACAGTACATTTGTTTATAAACGAGACAAATGGTGCTTACCGCTGATACATTGAAACTGACGTTAAACAAGGCCTCTTCAGTGCTCTCCTATATAGTGGAAGGTAACACAAAGTTTAAAATTGAAATTCACTGTTAAATAAGACGTAGAATATACGACACATGCAAACATGTTTATCATTAATTGCTGTTCTTGCTTTTACAAGCTGTTAAAGTTCAGGGGAAAAAATACGTTTGAATAATAACCTTGGTCCAGGTAGAATGCACTTTCTCTACAGCAACACTGGATTTTTCTCCTTCAACTTTATTTACTGATAGCGTCAGTCCTTCATCCAGGAGCAAAAATTTCTGCAGACCAATATGAACGCGGAAATTAGTGGTAAGTTGAACTGGGTGATATAAAGTGAATGAATGAACCGCAATTTTTCTGACATACTGCATGTACACTAATTATCATCACTACTAATTTCCCGACGAAGGGTCTTCGCTCGAAACGTCGAGGTTTTTTTCAGGTAGTTGAATCCACTGAGCTATACTATATTACTGGAGGACCTGCTCGGCATAAAGAAGTGAAGCCGAAAACATGGCGGATCTTACGCCATTTCCATGACAACACTTCCGAAATTTTCATGGTAACTGCCACTGACCAACCGCGATCCTAAGCTTTCGACGATGTCCTTAACCCCCTGGTTTTTGGGCAAATATTTTAAGTTTTCTGTTGTGTTTTTGAGCTAAAAAATCTTAATATTGCGCTCCATGCAACATTACTTGCTTAACAACGCGGAGGAAGGATGCGGGTTTGCTTCGCTTGTGGATGTAGCACTTCAGTGAGTTCACTACAAAGAAAGACTAATTGTTTCCGGTATAAAGATTCACAAAACAGTCGAAACTTTTTAACTTTCTAGGGACTTGGCCATATGTCAAAAATTCATCATCCTAATATATACAGGGTATTTCAATAGCAGACATTATATACATATATATATATATATATATATATATATATATATATACATATATATACATATATATACATATTATTATTATTATTATTAAAAATTTTATTTCAATACGGTGGTTACATCAAAATCATATACAGTTTTGTTCTACCTGTAAGCCGTATATTATAGTTTGCAATATATATTAATTTAATTAATTAATGATCAGCGGAAAAATGGATATTTTTTTAAAAGATCTTTGAACCGCTTTAATGAACTCTCTTTTTTCAAAACTTCAGGAAGAGAGTTCCACACTTTTGCGCCGGAGTAAACAAAACTTCTCTTGTAATATTCAGTTCGAATTAGTGGAAGTTCGACATTCTCTGTTGAAGAACGAAGATCATAAAAATTGGCACCACTTTCTGGTCTAAATAAACCTAAGAAACATGACGGTGCTTTATGGTTTAATATTTTATGCATCATCACTGCTTTGCATTTTTGTCTTCGTTCACTCAACTTCTCCCATCCTAATTCGTTTAATATATCACTGGACCTTCGCGAATAGTCGGCTGCAGTAATAATACGTGCTGCACGATTTTGAAGTTTTTGAAGCTTTAACGCCAAATAGTCACTGATGCCATCCCAAATTATACAACAGTAATCAAAATAAGGTTCTACAATAGCTCTATATACATTCATAAGATCGCACTTTTTCAAGACTTTTCTATTTCTACGTAGAAGACTAACGCCGATCGCTAATTTTTTAATTACATTATCTATGTGCTCAGCCCATGTGAGAAATTCGTCTATTGTCACTCCTAAGCACTTAGTACTCTTAACTTTACGCAGAGATATATCATTAAGGGAAAGTGTCAGATCACCCACAAGTGAATTTATTCTTTGTTTTGAACCAACAACCATATATTCAGTTTTCACTGTATTTAAAGTAAGTTTGTTGGCTATAAGCCAGGATTCTAAATGTTCCAGGTCTTTTTTCATCTGCCGTTGAAGTTCAGAAAAAACACATCCTGAGAATGATACGTTAGTATCATCTGCATACATTCGGGCAGTACCATGATTAACAGAAGTCGTCAAATCATTTATATAAATAAGAAATAATAAAGGACCTAGAACTGAACCTTGGGGAACTCCACTTTTGACCTGCACTTTACCAGATAAATAACCATTAACATAACATTGTTGAGTTCTATCAGTAAAATATGATTTAAACCAATGTAATGTTTTATCACAGATTCCAAGAAAACTTAATTTGGTTAATAATATATTATGATCAACAGTGTCAAAAGCTTTTTTTAAATCTAAAAATAAGACACCATTGATCATACCTCTATCAATATTATAATACCACTGGTTAGTTAAATCCAGTAATGCAGTTACAGTTGAATGCAGTGACCTAAAACCGAATTGCCTTGAATTAATTAGATCAAATTTCATTAGATATGCATAAATCTGATTATAGACCAATCTCTCAAATAACGTAGAAACACCAAGCAAAACAGATATTGGTATATATATATATATATATATATATATATATATATATATATATATATATATATATATATATATATAGCTTAAGATTTTGGTTTACGAAACACAAACAGTGCTCAACACCATATAGATAGAGCGTAATATAGTTTTTCGTTTTACCTCAAAAAACCACAACAGTCTGTTTCATCCGTATAGGAATCATCAGGTGGTGAATAATTTCGAAATGGTAGGTTGCTTTTATGCTATCGAAAGAATGTGCGGAATGCGTGTAGGCGAAACAATGCTTAGGTGAAACAATGCATGCTTGGGTCATTAGGTTTTGTTAACGACCTTGTTTACTCGAAACCGGTTTTTGTGACGAAATTTGCCGAAAATTTCGCTTCTTTTATTGAGTAAATTGTTTTTGTTTATGTCTTTCAAAATGCAAAATTTTTCTTCCAAACATAAATTGCAGCGTTTTGATCCCCCTGTGTACGAAATAGCGTGTTTTAAAATTGACCATTTGATGGTATAATCCTGATTGTTTTCTTTTAATTTCCAAATATGTTTCGAAAGTTCCGTTTTGGTTGAGTCTTTTTTATGACGAAAAGATGAAGTGTGGTTAGCGTAACGTTCCTTAAATGTAGTCGCTGTCATACCAATGTAGTGTTTAGTGTCGTTCGTGTTGTTCGTTGTGACTGTTGCTTTGTAAATAATGTTGTTGGTCATGCATTGTTTCGGTAGTGGGCAAGTGTTTTTGTTGTCGCAGTTACAGTTGTCAGTTTCCGTATTCTGTGATTGACTATTCCTAATTATATGTGCGTTGTGTTTGGTGATTATAGACTTAACGTTGTTCATGCAACTGTAGCTTACTTTTAAAGTGTTTCTGTTAAAAATTTTGTGTAGTTTGTGCTGTTGCGGGAAGTTTTTGTCAATTAAACTTAAGAATTCCCGTCCTATGTTCGTGTTAACACTCTTACTAAATGGTGGGTTCAACCAAATTATGTTGCGTTGCCTATTCCTACGTGTCCGTTGCGGTGCATTCTCAGTGTACGTAAATTCATGATCAAAGTTACTATGTGTAAGAGCGTTCTGGTAAGTAGGTGTGGATTCCTTAAATGTTTGTTCGTCCGATGAGACAAGTGCAATGCATTTGTTGATAGCTGTAGGTAATTGTCTTGTAATGCTTGGTGGATGGTTTGAGTGTCTGTGGATGTACAATGGATCGTCATTGGGTTTCCTGTATGGTTTGTGTTTTGCGTTGATCAGGTCGAAAGTAACATCTAAAAAATTTACAACGTACATATTTACTTCGGCGGTGATTTTAAGGTCAAATTGCTCGAAAATTTTGTTTCTTGTCTACCTTATTCATTTTATTTCTACTTCAAACATGCGACAATTTCGATTCGATTATTCACTAAAGAATATTCCTATGCCATCACAGGATGCTTACCTAAAGAATTTGATTGAAAAAGTGGAAAGCGTAACAAAACGTATGAGATGGAAAGCTAATTTCTTCCTAAAAAGATCAACGACTCAAAACCAAAGCAACCTTTTCAGCCTTCCGTCTAACAAATCGCCTCCTTCAATTCCACTTTTGAAACCTTTCGAAGACGACTTGATAAAACTAATTGAAAACGTAAAATTCCGGCGTCCTAAAGACCAATTTCAGACATCTTTGGCTAACGATTTGAAAAAAATTAATTCATCCCCTAACATTTTCATTTTCGCGGACAAAACTAGAAACATTTACGAAACGTCACTGAACACATACAACGAACTCTTACATGATAACATCACGAAAACGTACAAACATGGATCAGAGGACTTCATACATGAAATTGACTCCGAATTGAAAGAAATTTCGAGTAGGTTAGGAATTGGAGACAGAATTGAACGAATGAAAAAACGCGAAGCATTTATATCTTTAAAAGATCACAAAGAAAATTTCGAAAACAATCGAAATTGCCGACTAATTAATCCCGCAAAAAGCGAATCCGGAAAACTAAGTAAGGTTATTTTAGATAAAATTACTTCCAATTTGAGACAAAAACTAAATTCAAATCAATGGAGAAATACGCAACAAGTAATTTCATGGTTTGGCAATATAAACGATAAAGACAGGCACAGTTTTTTTTCATTTGATATTGTGGATTTTTACCCATCTATTTCCGAAAAACTTTTAAATGAAGCATTGGCCTGGGCTTCGGATTTGACTACTATTACCGAAAACGATATTTCAATAATAAAACATGCAAGAAAATCTCTACTTTTCGGCAACGGCAAATTATGGACAAAAAAAGACGGAAGCAACAGTTTATTTGACGTCACTATGGGTAGTTTCGACGGCGCTGAAATTTGTGAGCTGGTAGGCCTTTTCATTTTAAATCACTTAGGTAAGAGGTTTGGCAAGGAAAACATCGGACTTTATAGAGATGATGGTTTGGCTATTATAAAAAGAAAATCCGCCCGTTTACTAGACAAAACTAGAAAAGAGCTACACAAAATTTTCGAGCAATTTGACCTTAAAATCACCGCCGAAGTAAATATGAACGTTGTAAATTTTTTAGATGTTACTTTCGACCTGATCAACGCAAAACACAAACCATACAGGAAACCCAATGACGATCACTTAAGAGTGAATGTCAGTAAAAATCGAACATATGAGACATTTCGCGGCCACGACTGAAAAATCGATTTTGCTCAAATTTTGCCCAGATATACCTTATTATATCGGAAAATGCACCATATATTTTTTTAGGTCAAATACTTTTTTAACTTTGAGAAAATGCCGTTTTAACATGACCACCCTAAATCGCCATTTTTTCTGGGAAAATATGCGCTGATTTTACAGATAAATTTCACGACGACAACCGTTTCTAATCGATCTAAAACCCTAAAAATCTTGTTTTCAGTTATTCAAAGGACTGTGTACATGACTTACAGGAAATCTGAGTTACTTTTAGGAATAGAAATAATCGTAGTTTTGGAGCACACTATCTTACTTCATTTACGATACCCTCTTAACAAAATCGATTTTCACCATGCGATAAAGCTCCAAATCGATCATGCTTCTACTAGTTGGCTCTTTAATAAGCAAGCTTTCAATTGACGTAAATACTTCTTTTGGCAAATGAATACGCGATAAACGACAGCGCGTTGAAATCGTCCGTTTTTGACGTCTTGCAAGTCAAACGCTGTTAATTTACATACCGTCGAAGTAAACAATTTAATCAAGTATTTTAAGTATTTTACCTTTTGAGAAGAAGATATATTCTTGAATGGAGACTTTTTACCTTGCTTAGTTTAAAATTGGTCCAAAAATCCCGAGATATTTGTAAAATATCATCATATACAGGTATTTTGAAATATAATATTGTTGTCAGTTGCATGACAACTTCAGATCATTGTTCAATATTGTCTACTTTTAATAGCGCAAACATACATATCGATGAGCTGTTTAGTGATTTTATATTTGTTACTAAATTTCCCAAAATTAGAACTTCAATTGACAATTGTTGTTTTGTTCCAGTTTGCATTGATCCATATAATGTACCATTTAGTATTTACATATCGACTATCGAGTATAAATGTTTACGAATACATAAGTTAATTATTAAGCAGCTGTTAATAGCGTGCGTGTGAAATGAACATTTATCCATACAAGGATTTGTTATTTTATTATATATTCTACCACCTCAAACTCAAATTATAGGCATATAGCAAATGCTGTAGTTTAGAATAATGTGTGTTTACTTTGATGCACAGTTAAAATAATCAGTAAAATTACTTTATTTTGATACACTAATGTCTATTGATCTTATTATATTTCACAAGTACTAGTACCCAAAAATACAGCATTGAGTATTTTGGCCCAGTGCAACATCACAAATTATTATTGTCTCCCCATACGTCGCGTTTAAAGAAAATGAAAGCTTGTTGCTCGTTTAACGCCGGATTAACCACGTGTCAAATACGGCAAATGCCGTGGGCCTCGCGCTTTACTGTGCTACGCCCATTTTTACGAGAACACGGCCATTTTCTATTGGGATACACCCATTTTAGGTGCCTCGCCAATTTAGAGACCTCGCGCATTTAGGGCCCCTAGGTTTGGCAGTTCGCCCTAGCACGGCCCCGGGAAAATATGCAATACTCGTGTTCATATAATCTTTAGTTGCGTTGAGCTGTTATATTATGATCCTGTTTATACCCACCAACTGCGCCAGGCAGGCCATTATCTCGTTTATAATTGATGCAAATAAATTGAAATATTGAAAAAAATTATTTAACACTTTTGTGTGTCTTTAAATTCAATGGTTTTCATAAAAAGAAGAAAGGGGGAGGTTTGGGGGCCTCGCGCTAAAATTTGCCACGGGCCTCGCGCGACGTTAATCCGGCCCTGGTCACTTGTCGGTAGTTCTTGCGGTTTTAATGCCAATTGACAAAGATCAAAAGAGAGCACTGATGACTCCCCCCGTCGGAGAAATACTGGCGCAGCCCAAACCAGCTCAGTGAAATATGGGGCCCCAGGGCCAATTATACCCTTGGGGCCCCGGTGAACCACAATTACCCCCCCCCCTCCGTCGACAAACTTTTTATCGCCTTGCAAATTTGTATTTGCCTGTCTTCCTTGAACTGGGGTCGCGGAGAAAATTGCTCCCTTTGCCGCCTCCCTGCATGGGCGGCCCTGGCGCCGCCCTTGTCTTATCATAACTGGCGCGGCTCGATGAATTAATTGCCGCTTTCAAACAGAGGTTTATTATTTTAAACCTCTAGAACCAGAGTACCTTTTGTCACTCTGAGGCCAGCGAAATAACCTCTTCCGCAACATGCACGTACGCGTCTACTATCGTCAAGAAACAATCAATACGTATAATCGTTGTGGTCTGTGGGATTTTAATTCAATAGTGTAAACCTTGCAGTTTTAGGGAAGCCTCACATATCGATTTTTTCCACAAGAAACGTCATATGTTCGTTTTGGGGGTGGGGGAGGGGGGTTTACAGCTGTGACGTTTCTCTGTAAATATCATGGAAAAGTTCGATAGTTTTTTCGGATACCTTAACATTTCGGAATCAACTTTGCAGAGTATAAAAAAGAAAACAACTTGAATTCTTGAAAGGAAACGACTATTCAAATATAAGGGCTGGTAAACTAAAAATAAAAACTCCTTATATGGATAAACATTATAAACGTTCATTTCACATGTACACGCACGCTAACAGCTGCTTAATAATTAACTTACGTATTTGTAAACATCAGTGGATAAATAAAATGGTACATGAACAAAATGGATCAAAACCTCTGAAAAAGCAGTTGTAGTTCCAATTCTTTTGGGGAATTTAGTAGGAAATATAATCCTTAAATAGCTCATCGATTTGTATATGTTAGCGCTAAAGTCAAACGGCCGGGTCGTAGATCACGTTGAATAATGATCTGAAGTTATCATGCAACCGTCAACAATGTCTCAAAATACTGGATGTTTGATGATTTTTTTTACAAATATACCGGGATTTCTGGACCACTTTTGAACTTAGCAAAGCGAAAAGTCCCCATTCAAGAATATGTTTTTTCTCAAAAGGTAAAACACTTAGAATACTTGATTAAATTGTTTACTTCGACGGTGTATAAATTAACATGCAGCGTTTGACTTGCAAGACGTCAAAAACGGAAGATTTCAACGCGCTGTCGTTTATCGCGTATTCATTTGCCAAAAGAAGTATTTACGTCAATTGAAAGCTTGTTTATTAAAGAGCCAACTAGTAGAAGCATGATCGATTTGGAGCTTTATCGCATGGTGAAAATCGATTTTGTTAAGAGGGTATTGTAAATGAAGTAAGATAGTGTGCTCCAAAACTACGATAATTTCTATTCCTAAAAGTAACTCAGATTTCCTGTAAATCATATACACAGACAGTCCTTTGAATAACCGGAAACAAGGGTTTTTAGGGTTTTAGATCGATTATAAACGGTTGTCGTCGTGAAATTTATCTGTAAAATCAGCACATATTTTCCCAGAAAAAATGGCGATTTAGGGTGGTCGTGTTAAAACGGCATTTTCTCAAAGTTAAAAAAGCATTTGACCTAAAAAAATATATGGTGCATTTTCCGATATAATAAGGTATATCTGGGCAAAATTTGAGCAAAATCGATTTTTCAGTCGTGGCCGCTTTATGTTTGATTTTTGTGGACATCCTCTCTTAAACCATCCACCAAGCATTACAAGACAATTACCTACAGCTATCAACAAACGCATTGCACTTCTCTCATCGGACGAACAAACATTTAAGGAATCCACACCTACTTACCAGAACGCTCTTACACATAGTAACTTTGATCATGAATTTACGTACACTGAGAATGCACCGCAACGGACACGTAGGAATAGGCAACGCAACATAATTTGGTTGAACCCACCATTTAGTAGGAGTGTTAACACGAACATAGGACGGGAATTCTTAAGTTTAATTGACAAACACTTCCCGCAACAGCACAAACTACACAAAATTTTTAACAGAAACACTTTAAAAGTAAGCTACAGTTGCATGAACAACGTTAAGTCTATAATCACCAAACACAACGCACATATAATTAGGAACAGTCATTCACAGAATACGGAAACTGACAACTGTAACTGCGACAACAAAAACACTTGCCCACTACCGAAACAATGCATGACCAACAACATTATTTACAAAGCAACAGTCACAACGAACAACACGAACGACACTAAACACTACATTGGTATGACAGCGACTACATTTAAGGAACGTTACGCTAACCACACTTCATCTTTTCGTCATAAAAAAGACTCAAACAAAAGGGAACTTTCGAAACATATTTGGAAATTAAAAGAAAACAATCAGGATTATACCATCAAATGGTCAATTTTAAAACACGCTATTTCGTACACAGGGGGATCAAAACGCTGCAATTTATGTTTGGAAGAAAAATTTTGCATTTTGAAAGACATAAACAAAGACAATTTACTCAATAAAAGAAGCGAAATTTTCGGCAAATGTCGTCACAAAAACCGGTTTCGAGTAAACAAGGTCGTTAACAAAACCTAATGACCCAAGCATGCATTGTTTCACCTAAGCATTGTTTCGCCTACACGCATTCCGCACATTCTTTCGATAGCATAAAAGCAACCTACAATCTCGAAATTATTCACCACCTGATGATTCCTATACGGATGAAACAGACTGTTGTGGTTTTTTGAGGTAAAACGAAAAACTATATTACGCTCTATCTATATGGTATTGAGCTATCTATATATATAGATATATATAGATATATAGATATATAGATATATATATAGATAGATAGATAGATATAGATAGATATAGATAGATAGATAGATAGATATAGATATATAGATATATAATTATTTATGAAATAAAGTACAAAACAAACGTTACTCAGAGTTTCATGCCTGAGTTTACAGACGATCTTCGGACAACTAAAGTTCTGTTTGTAATGAACCTTGATTACTTTAATTTGAACTTATTTACAACGCTCAAGGATACTTCGACATTTGACCATATAATCGTGTTCGTTCGTTCGACTTTTTTTGATTGATAACAACACTCGTGTTCGTCACATGATTTTCCCAACTAAATTGAACCAATAACAACAGCATGCAACCTAATATAATATTCCGCAAGTATATAATTAACCTAACTCTATAACACTCCCCTGGATTGATTACCAAAGTAATCAATTTGAGTTTGTTTTTGTTTGTTAACAACCTTAAAGAAGTTTACTTTTTACTAATTCCTTTCTTCTCGTTTTGCTAGCTCTTGCTGCTTCTCTGCGCGGTCGTGAGTGTTCATTTTTATTAAGTTCCTTTGTTTCTTGCTCGGGTTCCTTGTCTTCTCCTTCGTCTAGCTGCTTCTCCTTCCATTTCTTCCAATCTTTCGGTAAATTCAAGAGGAATAAGTTGCGCAATTGAACGTAGGAGAACATTTGGTTTGCCTTCACTACACGCTACTCTTACTCTTGCTGCTCGAACTACTCCATCTTGACCTGGTAAAAGATCTTCCACTCTGGCGAATTTCCAGAATTGTTGTTTTGTTTTTTCGTTCATAATAATCATGATATCACCCACGGAAATGGTTGCGATATTCTGTCGGTTTGCATTTACTCTTGACTTTTCACGTAAACTCAATAGGTATTCTCGACGGCAACGGTTTACAAAATGTTCTAGAATTCTTCTGTGGTGCTTCGCTCGGTTGGCTAAACTAAACTTCGCTCGGTTGGCTAAACTAAACAGCAGTTTTGTGTTTTGTGACTTCTGCGATTGCAATTGGATCCGTGCTCTCACAAGCCAAGTCATTTGGCCATTCTTCTTCAGGACGTTGCAGAAATTCAGGCCCTTTCCACCAGGCTTCGTTCGACTTCAGATCTGTTCCTGTAGTCCCTCAAGATGGCAAATCGGCCGGATTCTTTGACCCAGGACAAAATCGCCAGGCGTCTTTAGACGAAGACCTTCTAATCTCTTGCACTCGGTGTTGGACGAATTGTTTCCAGGGTTTATTGTTCTTTATCCAACAAAGAACTGCAGAGGAATCAACCCAATAGAATTTCTCTAGTTTACCTAAAGTAGGCATGAGAGAGGATGAAATGTTTTCAACGAGGCAAGCTAAAATTGTAGCCCCCAAAAATTCTAGGCGAGGTATTGTTTGATGGGAGCAACTCTGCTCTTTGAGGCGACTAGGTTTACATCTACATGTTCATCATCGTACTTCGTTCGTAAATACACAACAGCGGTGTAAGCTTTCTCACTTGCATCTGAAAATCCATGCAATTGATAATCTCTGATATTGGAACACCACTAAGTTGGGTTAATTCATTCACAAGTTCATCGTAAATTACACGCATCTCGCCGCGTAATTCTTCATCCCAATCTGTCTTATCCTTGCACATAGACTGGAACATCATCTTTAATTTAATAGTGAATGCACTTAAAAGTTCCAGCGGATTGAATATCTTGGTAACTAGCTTTAAAACAGTTAGTTTCGCCGGAGGTAAAGTGCGAGCATAACGTTGAATTTCATTAAATTCGTAATACAGACTGTCGGTTTCTACATTCCAGTTTACTCCGAGAATCTTTGTCTTGCTATCATCAGGAAGTTGTGGGCCGATCATCGATTTCACATATGTTTGGTTGTCTTGGGACACACTAACATTTTCTGTTGGACTCGAACATTCCCTCGCTTCAGTTGTTAACTCGTTCACCCTTTCACATTCATTTATTCTTTCCGACAGTTCCTTAGAGCTGGATTTCTATTTTCGCAAATTGAATCCCCATTCTTTCATGATTTGTTTTGATTTCTGGTAAATTTCGAAAGCAGTCTCATCATCCGGTGCACCAGTTGGAAGGTCGTCGACGTATAGATCCTTTAAAACTTCAACAATTTCAGGCTCAGTTTCTTGGTACTTGGATATATGATGAAGAACTGTACCACCTAAGATTGATGGACTTGGTTTGAGACCAAAAACAAGGCAGCAAAATCGTAATTGTTGCACCTTTAACTCGCTGGAATTAATATCTTTAATCCACAAGAACCGAAGCTTGTCTTGATCTGATTCCTTGACCTCAATTTGAAGAAACGCTTTTTCGATATCAGCAGTTAGTCCAATGGCGTGTGATCTGAATTTAACAAGGACATTGAATATTGGCAGTATGAAATTTGGTCCGTTCAACAAATGATCATTCAAGGACTGTTCGTTATTCCTTTCTTTGGCACTGCCATCAAAAACTATACAAAGCTTTGTTGTATCTCGATCATTTCGAATAACCCCATGGTGAGGTATATAATGCGTTGCAGAATTGTCTTCTTTTTCAACACAAACTCTTTCCACGATGCCTTGCTCAATTTGTTCCTCAATAATAGCATTATACTCCTTGAGTAAAGTTGGGTCTTGCTTTAAACGATTCACCAATGAAGTAAGGTGATTGTAAAATAACTCGTAATCATTAGAGAGGGAAAATACCTCCTCTTTCCAGGGCAACCCCACTTCATAGCGTTTTCCATTAAATGTTATGTCTCGTAAAATATCAGTGGAGACTGAACTCTAATGACTCTAAATCCCAAACTTGTTTTAAATTACTAACTAATTCGTCATTTCCTTTCTCTTCAAATAACATTTCTCTCCATCCATCAATAACAAGGTGTGACATGGTGTGTAATGATGTCGTTTTTGACGTAGGACCAAGTAGTAGTCATCCCAGCTTACTTCCCACAGCTGTTGGACCAGTATCCCTTTGATAACTTCACCTGTGACTATCTTGTAATAGTAGTCAGCTCCCAAGAGCATGTCAATCAGTTGATCTTCTAAATGGGGAAATTCTTGAACATTAATTCTTGTTCACACAGGGGAACAAATGACTGGAAATGCCAAGGCTGATAATTCAATGTCTAATTCACCGTCCTCTCCCTGCAATTGCAGAGAGAACATATCACATTTTTGCCGTTTGAATCCTTCCTCTCCAAAGGTGTTCAAATTAAGGGTTTCTTGCTTTATCGGTTTGAGATCCAGTTTTTCTTTCAGTTCATTCGTTATATAGGAACGTTGACTTCCTGAATCAAACAGCATCCGTATTTTGGTTCGTTTTGAATCGGCGTTGTTGTAAGCATATGCAGTTGTCATTTGAAGTAACACTGAAGACCTCTGTTGGTCAGTTGTGGTCGTCGTCTTGATTTCTTCAGTTGATTCACCATCCTTCTCTGTCGTATTTGGCTTATGCAATTCCTTGTTTCTTTCCCAAGTTGATCTTCTGTGAATTCTCCTGTTCCCGAGATTGTTGGTTGCTTGCATTCTTGTCAGCAGATTTCATACAAATTGACTGATGGTGTTTGCCATTGCACCTTCGACATGTTCTTTGACACTCTGATCCTCTATGTCCAATTCGTAAACAAACAAAACACCGTCCTTCTTTTCTTAAAATTTCCTTTCGTTGTTTGGGATCCTTTATCTTTTCACATGAAGTGGAGAAATGGAAATCATGACAATAAGCACATTGAATTTTATTTGAATTATACGTATTGTCTCCCTCGCGACTATACAACGCTGACGAGGTACCTGGGTTATTATTTTGGTATTGGTTTGGACTATGATTATTTGGAAAGTTCGATTTTCTTTCATTTGTTGTTTTAACTCGTTCGCTGATTTATTGTGCTTCCACTTCACTAAGGATGGTTTTCATTAAATCGTCAATTTTCCACACGTCATGTTCCGATTTTCTTGCTATAATTCATCGAATTTCGCTCGGTAATTTTGACATTACTGGGATTAAAAGACTCCCGGATTTAATGCCTATTGACTCCAATCCTCTTATATTAGTGTTAATTCGGTCATATACTAAATGCATAGATGAAGCCTTGTCGTCAGAACAAATTGGAACCTTTAACAGTCCATCCATGTGTGATGATATTATTTGTTGTGGTCGGCCAAATCTTTGTTTTAATATTTCAATAGACGTTTTATAATTCGCAGACGTCAAGGCAAGTCCTTGTATTGCCCTAGAGGCCGGTCCTTCTAATAGCGAGTGTAAATAATGAAATTTGTCAATGTCAGCTAATCCCTCATTTTTATCAATAGCGCTTTTGAAAATTTCCCAAAATGTCGTGAAAGAAGTCACGTCCCCTTTGAATTTTGGCAAATTTAGTTTCGGTAATTTTGGTTTCGCTTGGCTTCGATTTTACACTACTTGTAACCCCAGTAGCCATATTATGCATCGAAATTTGTGAGATAATCGACTCACCTGTTACAACTTGACTCGGCTGTTCGTATTGTTTTATTCTCTCTGCGATGGCATTGTTTACGCCCATTACTTGTGCGACTATTGCTTCGGAATCTTCGATTTCTTTTTCGATTTCTGCCTCTGCACAAAGGGTCAAAACATCTTGATCTATCGTATTTAATGTTTTCGTATTTAATGCCTTGGATTTGTGACACATCGTCTTTCGTTAAAATCTTGTTCGTTATTATCGTTGTAATGACGCTGCAGTGACTGCCTCGTATTGCCTTTAATCGTGAAAGTTTTTCGCTCATTTTCGCTTGTTTTATTTTCGTTTAATGGGTTCGTAAGTTCCACTAGTTGGGCGCCATGTAATGAACCTTGATTACTTTAATTTGAACTTATTTACAACGCTTGAGGATACTTCGATATTTGACTGTATAATCGTATTCGTTCGTTCGACTTTTTTTCATTGATAACAACACGTGTTCGTCACATGATTTTTCTAAATTGAACTAAATTGAACCAATAACAACAGCATGCAACCTAATATAATATTCCGCATATATATAATTAACCGAACTCTATAACACTGTTCACTAAATTTAACCGTTTGGTTTTGTTTGCTTGCGTATGCGTGCTTGTGCGTTCTTCTGTCGTGTATGATGGCGCACATTGTTTGATTGCATGCAAATGTACTTTCCCGCCAGAAATTGCTTTTGATGGACACAATTTGAGAAATCTCGCTTCTCCTGTTAAGCAGAGAGTTTTTTTGAATTTCAAGATGTAAAGTTTTTCGTCGCTGCACAAATTGCATTGTTTATGTCCCGATCCATATACAGTCAAATGTTTTAGGATGGTCCATTTAATTTTGTATGAGCAATTGTTTTTCTTTAATCTCCATATGTACTTCGACAATTCAGTATCATTAGCATACACAGCGATGTTGAACGATTTCTGGTGGTTCCTAAAACACTCCTTAAACATTGTAGCTGTAATTCCAATGTAATACCTTGTTTCTCTGTTGTCTTCTGCTGCAATTTTTGCACGGTAGACAATTCCTTTAGCTAAGCATTTGTTGTTGAGAGGACACATATTCTTGTCTCTGCAGTTGCATGTTTTGTTGGTGGGTGCTGTTGGTTTTGGTGATGGGGGAGGTGGTGGTGGTGATGGCGCTTTTGAGAGGATCTTATTGTTGTGGCTGGATATCACAGATTTTATGTTTTTCATGCAACTATAGCTCACTTTAATGGTATTTCAGTTGAAAATTTTGTTGAGGGCAGATGACTTTGGGAAGTGAATATCTACGAGGTATAGAAAATCTTTACCAATGTTGGATCTCACATTTTTACTGTAGGGCGGATTGAACCAGATGATATTTCTTTTTCGGTTTCTTTTTGGTATATGGGTGCTATGGTCTAGATAGTGTAACTTGCTTTGATAGTTGCTGTTATAGAGGGCTTGTTCGTATAAAGGCGCCAATGAGTTAAATGCTTGTTTGTCGGAAGAGAGTAGGGAGATTCGTTTATTAATTGACACAGGTAGTTGTCTGATAATTGGGGGTGGGTGGTTAGTGGCTGTTGATATAGAGTGGTTGGTTGTTCGGTTTCCTATAGGGTTTGTAACTACCGTCAGCTAAGTTGAGCATAATGTCTAGGAAATTAACAGATTGACCTCTGCCGTGATCTTTAAATCAAATTGCTCAAATAAATGGTGTAATTTCTTTCTTATATATATATATATATATATATATTAAATTATAATATTTACAAAATTATACAGCGTTCTCTAGATTGTAATTATTTGTTTTTGAGCTTTCGACTTGGTTCTTTGAGTCTTCATCAGAATGATTGATCTTTTGAATTTTCGCGCTGTTGTTGACGCTGTTGAAGTCTGTGGGAACGTCTGATTGGGTGATGGTTTTCAATATGTTGGTTGCCATTGGTTACTATGGAATGCGGGTGGTTATGGTTATCATGAGACGGTGTAGGGAAGGAAGTTGAGGGTGGGTTAAAGGTTAATGAAGATGAATTAGGAGATTTGTGCGAGCGTTTCAGTTGTAAGTAAATTGTAGGGATGTCAATGTGATGGTTAAATGTTTGTTTGTCTAAACTATGCCTCGCTTCTTTAAACTCACGGGCATGTTTAGTAGTTGCTTGTCCTAGGCATCTCGTTTGAGACCAGTCGAATTTATGTCCGTTGTCGTCTGTGTGTTTAGCTGGAAGAGAGCTATGGTCATGTCTCTTGATTGCATTCTGGTGTTCTATTAGTCTTGTCTGAATCTTTTTAGATGTTTGTCCAATGTACTTATCCGGACAGTTTTTGCAAGGGAAGATATAAATGGCGTTATGTTTTTCCGTTATATGTGTCTTGTCTTTGTGTTTAGTGAAGTTCGACCTAAGTTTGCATGTTGGTTTGTGTGCAACATCAATGTTGAATGGTTGGAGAAGTATAGCTGCCATTTCTGATGTAGTGTGTATGTAAGGAAGTGTAATTCTCGTTTTTGTTTGGTTAAGTCGGTCCATATTATTGTAACACCTTATTAATGAAGTCATTTTTGTAGAAGGTAGAGTATAAATACTTGCGTTCGTCCTGTTTGGATTGATCAGTGTTACAATGTGTGTCAATTCTGTTGAATAGAAGTTGCGTCTCCCAACGTTTGTGTCTTGATTGATCTTGTCATTGGTTTCCATGTTTGAAAAAACGTCGAAGTTGCGTTGGCTAATGTCTGTGTTCTAACCGATCTTGACACAGGTTTAAATGGTTTAAATGTTGTCTGTGTTGATTTTGTTCGAAGAGAGTCATGCAAAAATATTTCAGGCTCGCGTGTCTGTTCTGACGTACATGTACTAGGCAATGCATCTTAATTCTACGGTACAGTCAGTAGGGTCAGTTAGACATTCATCAACATCGCAATGCTCGTCTGGTGAGTATTCTTCATCCGCTTTACTTGTTGAATTTTCAGGATTCAAAAGGTCAGTGATTCCCTATAAATGAAAGAACATTTTTTGGTGTGTACTGGTAGCAAATGGATGAAAATGAAAGTCCCTTGATCAATAAATAAATGTTTTGCGCAAACATTAATTGTCACAAATTACCTTTTTTCGTTGTCTTCTCTCAGTATAAGTCCTTGTTTTACTTGTGCTTGGATCTATCAATGGTTTATTTAATGTGGGCAACGCTTCCCTTTTCAATTGTATTCTGAACGTTTCATTGCACTGTATTCATTTTAAAAACTGTGGCAGCTGTCTTTGTTCATACACGTCTTCGACAAAATGAATTGAGCATATTCTAGTGCACGACAATGGTTTAAATGCTTTGCGCTTACAGAATTCAATCCACACTTTTCTCCTGTATTGCTGATCTATCGATTTGTCATTTGGAAAACGGAAAAAACGGATATCACTTGTGTATTTCACTTGTGTACATGTTTTGTAGTGCACCTTATGTTTTACATGAACAATCTTGATCTTTTCCTTATTGAAGCCGTACTCAGCACTGAAAGTATTTGCAATTTCGGTTATATATATAGTACAATGAGGAACACATGAATCATTTAGGGAATTTTACATACAACAATAAACGTATTGATATAATATTGGAAGCTACATGCATGACAGTATTTTACCAAGTATTTTACCTATATAAAACAATGCTACAATTGATAACCAAGTAAAACTATATGTAAAAATACATCACAACATATAACCAGATTATAGTTATTTTACACTTATCTTTTGTCTGTAAAATCCCACACTGACCGTGAATGTCAATTTACTAATTTCCGCAATATTTAGCTAACTTGCGCGACACTATACATTACAGAAGGTATAGATACCAGCTATTTCACAAGTAATGTTGTGCGAAAGCCGCAGGTAAATGTATGTCGCCTGCATGCATTAGAAGTATGTTATCTCTTCACAATCATAATCAATTACCTATCATGATTTTGATTCAGCCGTTAATATAAAATTTGTGCAGTCAATGTTTTCCAAGGCTTCCAAAGTTGACGGCCAGTGAATTCTGGCACAAGATTTTAAAATGCTTCGTCTAAGGCTGGTGTGCCTCATGGTAGAATTATCCACTGCAACATCAGTTAACATTGTTGCAGTTCATTGAATTATTTTTGTATTAATAATAATAACAATATTTTGATACATTAAATACTCAGTAGAATCTTTTATTTCAATGCAAATTATTTCTACAGGGTGTCCCCAAAAAAACTAAAACTATTGAAATCACTTATTGTTAAAATTGAATGCCCTACCACTAGCTGAACGTAATGATGCGTAAAATATTGACAAGGTGCATGTATTAAAATTTAGTTAAGAAATCTATTTAAGTGTGTGATTTTCTGCTCTTGGGAATTTAAAGCAGCTTCTTAAATAGTAAAATATCCAAATGGCCATTCTGTCACGGATCACTGATTAATTATTGGGGAAAAGGAAGGTCCATTGTTTCCAAATGAAACACGGAAAAGGATCCGCAGCAGAAAGCCACAAGGATGGGAAACAGAAGAGCGGGAGCTGTTAAAACACACCAGAGTAAAGACAACACCCAGACACAGCCGCCCCCTTCTAGCCCCGCCCCCTCCCTTCTTATGTCCGCAACTCCAAATTTCTTTATCTTGTACTTCCTCTTGTCGTGGCGATCAGCACAGAAAGAGCTGTATAACATGTAAACTATGAATTTTATACACTGTACATCATTATTTATTCATAAACAACACTAATTATTCAAATTCCAATACTTAATCAGCTTCCGTGGAGTGTTTGGCCAATTTGAATAGTAAAATGTCCAAATGGCCATTCTGTCACGGATCACTGATTAAGTATTGGGGAAAAGGAAGGTCCACTGTTTCCAAGTGAAGCATGGAAATGAATTCCTCCGCAGTTTAGTTATTGCGCGCTCCCAACAATATATCTCCTCCCATACCCAAACCCCCATTCTCAAATACCCTACTCCCCATATCTTACTTTTCCCCCATCCTCATAATTAACTACAAATTGCGCATTTGCCACAAGCACAAGAAAAACTGGAATCTATTAAACAGACAGCCCGGCAATGAAAAATATAAAAAACGCAACTGAAAACTATAAAACTACAATGATGGGAAAGCGAGAACGAAATCCTTAACGGCATTGAGGTCCTGATACAACTTGGTGAGCGCGGTGACAGGCTCAGGGTCATCCACTGCAGCGGCCATGAGAGCGGAGGTGCTATCATGCAAAGAACCTTCTCCAATTGCATATAATAACACGCTGTGTGGGCGCGTTCCCACCCAACATGACTCATAACATCTGCCAACACAGATCCAGAAAGGGCCAAGGTAACTATGCGCCATCTCACGCTCATCTAAACCGGCTTCGCGAAGATAGGTCTTTAACCGGCAGTTCATAGCCTCCGACGATACTGACAAATCTGTGATGGTTCCCTGGGCTGTGGTCAGACGAAACAGACATCCCTGGGAGAGATCAATCTGCATGACACGCGACGTCGAAATGTATCCCTCAATCGCAACAGGGCATATCCGTGTATTAGAACACCTTCGAATACCAAAAAGATACAAGTTACCACCGCGAAGCGTTTTGCCCCATGTATGATTAAAAAGCAAACCATCATCATTGGGAAAGCAAAGAATTTCATTGGTGCGAACATGAGCGAGGTCACCCAGGCGATCCTCCAAGAAGAAAAGAGTCTTGAAAAATGCTTGATCCCGAGCCAAAATATAAGTCTGCAATGGGTCGTCCTGGCAGGCCACAAGCCGGCTATCCATATGATCTGCCAATCGGGCCAACTTGTCAACAAAGAGTGGAATCGCCTGTTGGGGAACAACGCCTGCGGCTGCCTGCTCCTCTTTAACACATTTAAGATATTTGCTGACCAAGAGAGAAGCCGCAGGATTGCCTAAACCAAATCCCCCTTCCCAATCACCCACGCAATCATTAGCTTTGAATATCGTGCGTAAGTTTCCAATTAAAGAGTCCACAGTTCCCGCCGCCAGACGAAATGTACATTCACAGGAAAACGAACCTTTCAAGCCCTGATGGGGACAACTCATGGAATGAACTTGTGTCGTCCCTGTTTTATCCTTCCACACGAGGAAACAAACCAAATCCAACGGAGTAGCTGACATAAGATCCTTAGGAACTGGCAGAGAACGCAGAAACTGGAGCAAAAGATCCGACAAACGAGACTTTTGACGATCATACACTGACTCTCGATCAAACAACTGAGTAATTCGGGCATCAACCGACGGAAGATCAACATGCAACAAAGTCTCCGGCTGTGCTGTTAAACCACACCGATGAGCATACCCACACTGCTGACAAAACCGAAATGCATGATCATTCGGGTATGAACAATTAGGACAAGCAACAGCAGGAAGCCATATACGAGGGACCACACAAAGGGGCTAAGGAAAACAAATGTGACACAATAAAATCAGAATAAATATATATTTATCAAAGTACACAACATAGGACAGTGAACTCAATATTCGAATATATTACAGTCAAATAAGTACAGACTAAACCAACCACTAACGATGATAGACTACAAGGAACGCCCAGAGATCCCAAGGGATTGATCCCAAGGAGTTATCCAGCAAATGCCACAGTACCATTAGGCTCCCATTCAGGTACAACAAATGATTGAAAACAGAGACGTTTAGCAGGTGGGTAGAGAAAAGATGAACAAAGAAATAAATCCCAAATGCATCCCCCCCGGAAGGACCAGAAGAGGGCAACAGTTCCGGGACAACTGCTAGAGTCGAACACAAAGAACTTTAGATAGCTCTGGAACGTTGACCCCCACCAGCCAAGAAAAGGAAAAGAAAAAAAAATGAACATGAAAACGAAATTGACAAAATGAAACAAAACGATGCCATGGCAAATATTAATTTATTTTTCTGTGAACAAATACAGATTTTCTTGGGTTCCCTATAGCAGAAGTAAATTGCCACCACCATATTGCGTAGGTGATCGCTAGATAGTATACTTCAAAATAAGGTTTCTGTTTTTATAACATAGACAAAAACTATCCTAACGCAAAACTAAACCCTAACCCTAACCTAACCTAAACCCTAACCTAACCCTAACTTATTTTGATTATTTTAAAAATTGATATAAAAACGGAAACCTTATTTTGAAGTATACTATCTAGCAATTGCCATATTGCATATGTCAGTGGAAGCATGTGATCTTCTGCTTCAAAATAAATTAAAATTTACAACGAAATCTTCAAAATTAGCAATTCTACAGCGTTTTTTCTTCAGCATTTTCAATAGTTTGCCATTACTAAATTGCAACATGGCTTCCAAAAGAGGTTGCCTTACAATAAGTGAGGTTGTTTCAGCACTAGGCAAAGAAAAACAGCAAGGTAACGATTGTAGTTAGAGTGAATGTTCATCCTCAGGAATAGACAAGTCAAGTGATGATAATTTTGAACCTACTTCACTGGAAAATCTTGATCCATGCTTCAAAGACTCGGTTTCTATCAATGAGACTATTCAAGAAGTATGTATGTTTTGGATTTTTCAAAAAATATCACGTCTTTACTTGTTGTTTACAACTGTGAATTGTTCATACAACCAAAAGCTGCATTGGTTGCATTTATTGACTGCCTAATAATTTACAGAAAAGTTAGAGATACTTCATGACAAGTTTATTCAAACTGAAGCAATACAGAGTGTAGATTTGTACTGTATGTATTGTGGTAGTTTATGTTTTAGAATGGAAGAGAAGTGTAACATATATGTTGCTCCTGTGTATGTTGTATGAATGGCATCAGAGTTTCATACAATGGTTTTCTAAAATTTACTTATGTCAATTTTAGGAATCAAGCAGTAGTGATGATGAACCTGATCCTGAACCGAGTACATCATCCAAGAAAAAATCCACAAGAAAACATGCCAAAGCCACCCAACAGAAGCCAGCTTGTAAACGTAAGAAAACCACACAGGTATGTGAAAGCCCTTTCAAATGGTCCCCAATGACAGAGAGCCTTCATAATAAAAATGCTGATGCACCATTCCTGGAGAATTGTGGTCCTACAAGGAGGTTAGATGGTTGTGTAGAACCCATACATTATTTCCTGGCTTTCTTCACAATGAATGCTGTCAATGAATTGGTTTCTCAAACAAATTTATATCACAATCAAAAACATCCTGATGGTGTGATCAATTTGTTAGTGTTTGTGCAGAAGAGATTTTAGCATACATTGGTGTAGTAATTGCTATGGGTTTATGTAAACTACCAAAGATTGATGATTGTTGGAACAAAAATGGCATATCCCATATGCCATGGTTCTCAAATGTGTTTTCCCGCGACCGATTTTGACAAATGAGAAAGTACTTTCACTTCAGAGATAGTACAAAACGCCCAGCTAAAGAAGACACAGAATATAAGCTTTACCAAGTGAATCCACTCATTTCTGCCTTGACTCAAACATTTGCAACTTTGTATGTGCCCTCCAGGAATGTGAGTATTGATGAAATGCTACTTGGCAGAAAATGTCGTGTATCATTCACACCGTATATGCCAAAGAAACCAAAAAAATTTGGAATCAAGATATGGGCTCTGTGTGAGGCTGAAACAGGGTATTGCTGCTCTTTCCAGGTGTACACTGGAAAGGCAGACAGTAACCAGGCAGAACTTGGACTTTCATACCGAGTTGTATTTGATTTGCTCAAAAACTACCTTGACAAAGGATATAGACTGTTTATCAGTAACTTTTACACGTCAGTGCAACTAATTTTTGACCTTGTTCAAAGAAACACTTTTGTTTGTGGTACACTTCAGGCAAACCGTAAAAAATTGCCACCTCAATTGAAAGAGAAAATCGCTGTTGATGAAATTAAATTTTGGAACTGTGGAAATTTAGTTTGTGCGCACTGAAAAGATAAGAGAGATGTTTATGCTCTCTCATCGATGCATGGAAATGACTGTTGTTGTACCTAACAAGAGAGGTGACAAGCAGACTACAAAACCAAAAATGATAGTGGATTACAACCAAAATATGGGTGGTGTTGATTTGTGTGACCAACTGGTGACATATTATAATATTAGCAAAACGTCTTGTAAATGGACTCAAAGATTAGTCTTTAGACTTATTGACATTTGTATTGTGAATGCTCTGGTTGCATTTACAGCCAATAACCCAGCATTCAAAAGTGTATACAGAAAACACAAAATCTTCCGTGAAACACTGGTACATCAACTTGTGCAAGGGCTGCTAAACAGAAGAAATAACCCCAATCTTTTGTCCCCACCAGGGCCTGGCACACCCAACAAAGCAATTGAAAAATATTATTATACTGGGCAAGCACTTTATGACAAGCCATCCTCTTAGGCGGCGATGTGTGTCTTGCGGCTATAAGAAGAATGCAAATGGAAAATCTAGTGACAAGAAAACGTCCATGTACTGTTAAAAGTGTGACAAACACATATGCAAAGACTGTTTTGAGAAATACCACACTCTGTCAAAATTATAGGATTTTTATTATAGAAGTTGTAAGAATAATAATAATGTGTACTTCTGCATTGTAGTCATATTTTTTGCAAATCCAAGAAAAATGTCTTTCATATCTTTGGCAATAATCATCCTATTTACATCAATTTGGTGTCATTTGGAAGCTAGAGTAATGGCAGGCGCGGATCCAGACTGATGCAACTGATGCGAATGCATCAGTCAAAATTTTCACACGAACGAGAATTGTCAACATTTTATTAAAATATATTTAAATATTGGTTGTCTTTGATCCAAAGTCCTTTAAAACAATATATTTTCACAGGAATGAATGTAAACAAAGCTATATTTCGCAAAATATGATGAAAACGTAAACGCATATCAAATTTCGCACTTATCAAGTTGTACGATTTTGTGTCGCGACTTTATTTCGCCACATATGTCGGTGTTAAGTTTGATGCATCCACTATTATTACAGCTCAGTGTATGCATCACTACGTCACGTTTGGGCCGGCAGTGCTGATCTACGTCACGTTGGGGAGAAAAGTGCATCAGTGGCGCATCGGTCCCGAGTCTTTTGGCAGAGTTTTCCCAACGACACATCATGAAAACCATTGTTTTCATGCCTACGTAACGTTGGGAAATGGATGCTGACTGATGCGTTTAGCCCGCGATCAAAATAATGCGCTTTTGACTGATGCATTTCGCCCGCAATCAGAACAATCAGTGATAAATTTTATGGTCAAATTGTTATATAATGGCGGAAATGGCGGGAGTATTAATGGAACATTGTATGTCGCATTGTATGGAAATATTTTACGATCTTTGGTGGTTCACTCAAACTCACTGAGCCTCAAAGCCGTTGAAATTAAAAGGTTTGTCAGCTATTTCAGTAATTTCACAAGGGAATGTTTGGGATCTGTGTACTGTGTTTATAGATGTAGATTTAAACGAGTCTCTGTGTGACTGTGTGTTGATATTTATAATAAATACTGTAGGTATAGGTATATTTGTCGTAGTATAAATATCACAATTTTACAAAATTTATTATATTTGAACTGTTTTAAATATGTCAACATGGATGATCCTGTTTTGGCTGTTCACATATAAACACTCAATATGCCATTCAGCCATTATATAGTGTGTGTGTAGGGGGGGGGGGGATGGAGGTTGTGTCTTAATTTATTTGAAAATGCAAATTGAATCTAGATGCTTGATAATATTTTGCAGTTCTCCCTGAGATTCTTACAGTCTAAGGGACTCTGTCTAGGATCCTGCAACCCTTACTAGCAGCTATATTCCTGGCACCTGCCGGTTACTTGGCCGGTTACTTGTTAGGTGCTGTTTCCCCAAAACACTGCTATCTGTATGATTACACACCATGCCTTGGTTGATGCTCACACCCGACATCAATACTGGCACCTAATTAGATCCCTCCCATATCCAAATCCATCCCTGTATGTGCATCATTTTGGAATTGGGAAGCTCTTGAAGCTTCAAAACAATGTTTGGTGATAGTGAGATTAGTTCAGTTATATATTATCTCTATTGTTCCAGAATGATCACCTAGTACCAGAAGCCATCAATCACACTAAATGGCATTACATGTATCAGGGTTGCCCCTGCCAAGGTGAGGGGAGAGGCACAGGGGGTGACCGGCAAATTATTGTGATGCTGAAAATAAAGGGGATTTACATGTTTAGGAAGGGAATAAATTTAGCTGGGCTCTCTCAAGTTCGGCCCCTTAAATTTGTGATGCTTTTCCTGGCATTGTTCATATGCCTTTAAATTATACCATTCTCATGACCATGGCTCAGCACAAGGTGTTCATTTTAAGTGTACCAGTCTAATTAGCAGTTATGGGACCAAATTACTGTTCTGATCATTCTATAATTTATTTACAACAAAGGGTCATTGCATAGAATACATTAATGTATAAATTGATAAATTATCTCACTTTCATTGATAAGTCAATGTTATGTACTAATTGAGTTGATCACAATATACTGCACTGTCACTGTTACTGAAGCTTGTCAATCCTGCTCATGCAATCAGATACCTACCAAGTCCATAACTGCACTTCTCCCTGTCTATCCTTAATATCTTGAAACAGCAGTTTTGGATACATACAGTAGTCCTAGACACTCTCCTGAACGTACTGTAATTTGGGATTCAATGCAAAATCTGTGGAGATATTATTGGTCAATGTATTGTAGATATCCAGACTTCAAATACAGTAGAATAATCTATTTTCTGCAAATAGTTTCAATAATTGTTTATTTTTATTATTAACTGCTCAGCAACAATGAAAACTATTACCTAACACCCTTGAATACTTTGATAATCTTACAGTATTTAAAAATTCAAACTGCATTTTTCAAAATGTTGGATATAAATGCATCCATAAATATTAGAGTGACTAGCTCCAGAGAGGGCCTTCATATACAGTAACTCAAAGTTGCCCTGGAATTAATCCTGGATTATTAAAATAATTTAACTGGAATTTATGTCATTGTGGTGCTGCTGGAAGGCATTTGACCTGGAACATTGTTATATTGATTGGTGTTAACTGGTAACAGGAAGTGATAAGTTACAGGAAGTGATATCATTGGCAATGAATATAATAGTTTGCTTGAGGTATTCTTATCTATTTTGCATAAGAAACACAACCCTGATCAGCTTTTCATGTCATTTGCACCATATTTTACACAGAAAAAATGTCTGTGGTTTTGCTTTCAATTATTCTATCAGTATGTTGTGTACATGTAAGTAGTGTACACTTGTATGTAAAATTGTAAATTATAGCTACAACTTTGCTACTCTATAATCCTCACTCAAATAAGATCAAATAAATAAGGCTAGTCAAGTTTCGATCTGATAAAACTCCGCGTAAAAATGTTTTCAATTTATTTTAAAACTCACATGATTATGTTGTTCTCACTCTATAAGGCCGATTTTTTACGTTTTTTCCCGAAAATCCAGCAAATTACGTTTCGATTTTGATGTGTGAACTTCGAAGAAAAGCTCCCTCAGAACGCAGGAAATCGCATTTCCGAGGTCCTAGATTTCAAAATTTCACGGGGGAGGATACCCCCGGACCCCCCTACAAATGCGAGGTTTAGTGCATCAGTCAACAAAACCACTGGATCCGCGCCTGAGTAATGGGCAATGTATGTCACTAGGAAGTAGAATCTTACCACCCTCTGGTATCCACACAGTATGGATGAAACATAAAAAAACACTTTGTCTGCCATTCACACTAAATCTGTGCAGGGCCACACCCCCCCCCCCCTGGGATAGCCTCTTGGTGCCTTCTAGTGTTAATATTCAGAAAGCTTATATTTTTGGCTTTCAAATGATATATAATACATATTTATTTATATTCAAGTTCTCCTCAAAAAAGTTAAAAAGCTGCAGTGAACTAAATAATGAGATTTTCTCTAAATTAATTCAGCGCCCTAAGGGTTAATAGCGGTTCGACTGGAATTCAAGACAGAATTGTAGTTGGAATCGGAGACGATTCAGTAAGAAGCTGATTGCTTCATGAGTCTGAATTAGATTTGCAAAAAACCGGTAGATATCTGTTGAAGCCATATGGGATGCTTTAAAGAATCCTGCCGTGATAATAATTGATGATGTCAAAAGAGATCCGATAAAGTGAAAGCGGCCAGAGACACCAAGAAACAAATGAGGAAAATTTAATCAGCAGACTTTGGTTGTACAGTGCAAGTACTGCAGGACATTGAAAGGAACAAACTGAAATGTCCAACAGTTGGAAAAAAACATGTAAGAGATGTGGTAAGCAAAATCACTTTGCCAAGGTATGTAAAAGTGTGTTAAATTTTCAATCACAGCTTGGAATCACTCGCCACCGAGAAACAAAAGGTCCAAACAGGCATCTTCGAAAAAGCTTCTTTTGCACAAAGAAACCACCAACACACACCACCAACAATCCCATCTAAAAAAATGTGCAAATGGGATTATTTTCAGACCGCAATGTTCAAAAGTATTTATATGTCCATTCCATGGATGACAAAGCATACATACATCCTAGAACGTCAGAAGGATTTGAGAAGACGCAAAATTTACACATTTTAACTTTGACCGGGAATGAACGAAGGCAGTTGCCAAAGTATGATGGCCTGAAGATAAAGTATACCAAACACCAGCAGCACACAGAATAATAACAAAAGAAACCAAAGAGGTAGATGGCAAGAATATGTTATTCACAACCTCTGATAGGCATTTTGTCATTTTTTGACAACGCCTTTGTCGACTCAAGTGGGACAACATGAGCAAGTGAGACTGCGGCAGGAGGAGCCTGCATGATACTTTTGAAGTTGTTGAAGCCAGTCTATCCATAAGTTCTAGGATACTGTGTTTCTCTACAATGACATGACTGTTGAAAGAGATTATGAAAGAGTGACTA